AGATGTCTCGACGTTTCCGTCACCCGCCGAAAACGGAACTGCTGCGTTGTGTTTTTAGTTTGTTGTCCTTCTCCCCCCCCCCCCCCACCCCCGGCACCTCCGACTAGCACGGTTGGGCTACGTACGGTGCGAAAGAAGTTCAACGGACATACGTAATGATTTGCTCACATTTAGAGACGATAAAACCGGGTTAATATACATATGTATTTTTTTAAAACTGTTTTATTTACGATTGATTAATTTCTAACGCCCTTAGCCATTGTGTCGGAGGAGTGGAGTAGCATTGCCGCAATCCTGTTGCGCGTCGCTCCCGAGCTCGGTGGCATGAGCTCGATTCCCGGCCACGGCTACTCCCTTCACCAACCTCGCAATGACCGGCGCCGTGAATGACGGTCCAAATAACTCTGACAACCCCCCCCCGCCCCCAACGTGCTTGAGTGGCTCTCATCCAGCAGTGGATTGACAGCGGCGCTCTTACGTGTGCACGATGTAGACACACAGCACCGAGTAGGTAGGCGAACGATTCGTCGGTTCAGCTGGATTTCTACGCCGACGAGACATTATTCCGCATGAACTCGTGCGTATGAATATCGATCTCTTTAAAAAAAAATACGCCAATATAAGACGGAGCACGAGACAACACAAATAAAAGTCGAGTAACAGTCGATTCGTTAATCGAATCGTCACAATTGGTCGAATTGTCCGGGGTGGGGTGGTTGGGTGGATTAGGGGGAGCGGTGGTGCAGCGGTTAGCGCTACGCTGCGCTACATACTCGGCGACTCGAGGTCGATTCCCGCACACAGCCAACACGAGTGACGATTATCTGAACCGGTACTGCGCCTCCCCTAGGTCGACTCAGCCTCAAATGAGTATCTGGTGCAGTGTATAAACATCGCCACTGGGGAGACAAAGGCAGTCGGGCGTGCTGCTGGCCACCCACTCTGCCGTGTACCGTTCCGGCCTTCATAGGTGCTCGCTAACAGCACTTGCCCCAACAATCTGTTAGAGGCTACACGGGGGACCTTTGTCTTTTGGATGGAGAAGATGAGTCCCCGCTGTGGCGGATGAACGGTAACAAAGATAAAAAAAAACCCGTATAGCCTACGACGGCGGTTTGGGGCAAGTGATGTTAGCGAGCACCTATAGAAGGAGGGATTGGTCGAGCGGCACCGACAGCCCCTTCCGTGGGACGGCAGCAAGAATTTGTCCGCGCGCGCTCGGCCCTTTCCCCGATACTGCTGGGTGCTGCAAATGCGCTTAGCGCACATGAATGAACTCGGCCCGGGAAGTTTGTGAACAAAATGCAGCAGCCCCCCCTCCATCCCCCCAACCACGGCTGATTATTTCCCCTTCGCGCTTGATGAAACAGTGGAAAATTCCTAACCCGTGGGATTATCCGCCTTTTTACGCAATTTCATTAATTTAAATGACGTCCGTGTGTATATTTTTTTCAATACTGGGTATGGTTGTATGTGTGTGTATGTCTGCGTGAGCTGTATGTGTGTCGATGACTCTGTGAGCTGTGTGAGCTGTGTGTGTGTATATAGCTGTGTGAAATGGGTGGTGCTGGCCACCCATCCCCTCGTGTGCCGTGCCGGCCTTCATATGTGCTCGCGAACAGCACTTGCCACAACAGCCTGTTAAGGTTATACGGGAGGGCTTTGTCTTAGTTTGTTTTGGCTGTGTGTATATGGCTGTGTGAGTTGTGTGTGTGTATTTGGCTGTGTGAGTTGTGTGTGTGTATTTGGCTGTGTGAGTGGTAGTATAACGGTTAATGCGCTGCTACTCACAGCCAACGCAAGTGACGATTATCTGAACCGGTCCTGGGTCTCCCCTAGGTCGACTCAGCCTAAAACGAGTACCTGGTGCGATGTATGCATCTCCACGAGGGAGACGTGGTGGCGAGTATATGGCAGCAGGTACGTTGATGTTTGAATCTCTCTGTGCGAGGCTCTGAGTGTTACCACGTGGTGGGGTTTTCTCCGGATTTACTTCTCACGTGGAGCCAAACTCTCTTTTATCTGGCAGTCGCCTGATGAAGCTAGTTGTAATTACTGGCGAAACGTCGTACTCAGATTGTAACTCTTGTGGCTTGGCTCTCCAACACACAACCGGTGTGCTGTACTAATGACGAATTGGCACGTTCTGTTTACGTTACAACCCTTACTAGTTGGCTGTGTCGGGTGGTGGCGGGTTTAACGACACATTTATATATTTATGCGATCTAACCCAAAAAAAACTGTATTATGGATGATATTGGTCGCGAAAGCCTAAGTGTTAAACCGCTCTTTAACACTATCGGTTAAAATGTTGAATTTCCCATTTGGGGAAGGCACGTGACAAGTAGCAACAGCAAGAGCAATCCGCACCTCCCATTAGCGCGGTTGGCTACGGACGGTGCGAAAGAAGTTCAACATACATCGTGGATGTGGTGTGCCGGGTGCAGACTAAAAATGTTTCAAGACGAGCACCCCGACAGATGTGGATGAATGTAAGCCCTGGTCTTGAGATTCAGTAAGTCTTTCTTGGGCAATCAAAGTCTATTTTATATGCAATTTTATATATATGATAGGTCGTCAAGTTTATGCTTTCGTGAACACGGACGCACGTGAGTAGGTTAATTCATCCACACCGGTTGTGTGTTGCAGAGCCAAGCCACAACATTTCCAATCTTGAATACGACCTTTCTCCAGTAATTACGACTATCTTCATCACGCGACAGCCAGATTTATGGATGTTATGGATGATTTTGGTCGCGAAATGTGATGTGTTAAACAGGTTAATTCATGTTTAGTTAAGTCAAATGTGAGGCCCATCGTAGAATCAACAAACTTCAGGCGCCAACCCTTAGGGAGTCCCTTCTGGAAAATTTCCGAAGCGAGCCCCCCCCCCCACGCCCCGCCTCTCTCCGCCGCCCCCCGCCCCCTTCATGAAGATCCATCCTCTCCTAGCCTCCAAGCCCCCCAAGTGAGCTCCGTTCCAAGGGGATTGTCCCCTGGCAAATCCCGCAGGCGCTCGAGAGCCCCTGCCCTCACCTCCCCCCCCCCCTCCACAGGTCTCTATCCCCAAGTCTCCACAGTAACGGATGATGATCTGATGCAGCCACGAAAACCCGTGACTGACACCCCTAACCCACCCAACCTCGGCCCCGGTTTGTTTCTAACGGTTACTGTCAATGTGTCCACTCGGCTTTGCCAATGTTCACAAGGACGAGCGTACACAGCATTTCATTGTTGGGGGGGGAGAGGAGGAGAGGGGGAAATCGAGTCTCGTGCCTGCGTCACACCAACAGATGTGCGCCATGACGCAGTTCGTCTGGAACATAAGCGATGGCGTCCGCTCGAGTTGGCCGCTCAAATACCGACCGGCGCGCACGAGGCCCCGGTGTCTAATTGGATCCCTCCTATCTCGGCGGACAAACACGCCGGCTTTGGACAATAAGCTTGCCCAGCCAGAGCCACATGAGAGAAAAAAAAAATCCCGAGTTTGAATTCAGGTGCGGGTAGCGCAAAATTGTGTGTGGGGGGGGGTGTATTGAATCAAGCTGCTGTAAATCACATTTACTTCATGTTGCAAGTTGATTTTGTTGAACCATGTGAGAAGTCACGTAGTTGCATCGACCCGGGTCACCAAAGATGACCAAAGCAAAATAAATCAAATGAAGGTTATAGCAACAAAACAAAAGCAGAGTGTGTGAGTGTTCGTCGGGTCAGCCAGCACACAAGTACACGCACTCAAACGGTGTACGTAGACTACGCGTTTGTGCTTCACGTGATATTGCACGACCCATAGACACATACTGGAAAGACTCACGTAGAGACCCGCAGACTAGCACAGGCATCCAAAGACTCGCACGGAGACCCCAATGATAAGCTTCTATACACATCCATAGACTCACATACAGGGCCATTAGCAAACCAATGAACACGCAGGCTGTCGCGATCGGTATTATTCATAATAAAGGCTCTTGGGTTTGATCGCGGAAGTAAAAATGTGTCGCAACCCTCCACCGCCCGACACGGTCAATCAGTAAAAAATGTGTCACGTTAACAAAACGCCAATGATTTACTTCTTCAGCCCACCGGTGTGTTTGAAAAGTGAATCGGCAACATTTAGAATTTGAGTACGACGTTTCGCTGGTAATTACATCCAGCATCTTCGGGCGATTTTCCATTCTGGATTGCGACGCATGTATACTTACGCGATCTAACCAAAAATCCTTTATTATGAACAGACCAATGAAGTCTGCCCTCCTTCCGCGGAAGAACAGCACCACGACACGAACCCTCACCTGAAGCCCTCTCGTGACGATCAGACCTCGACATTGGCACCCAGCGCCTGCACATAGCCATACGCGAGAATCGCTTCCATAGACCGATGCACTCACGTCGACACGCTTCGACACTCAGAGACCAGTCCGACTATCACAGAGGCCATAGGCACACATCGATAGCCCATAGACTCACGTTGAGACGAGCCGCTGGATTCACACAGAGAGACCCACAAACTCGCGCAGAGACCCCCCCATTGTCCTCACATGTGCCTCTGCAACGCGTCTCGTGATGCGGTCGCACGAGTCGGCTGCATTGTTTTTTGTTGTTGTTATATACGTTCTTACCCGCCCATCTGTTAAAAAAGAGTTTCAACCCTCATCGGATTCCTCCAGTATAAATAAGTTTTTTTTTTAAATCTGAAACTCACATCGCATCGCATTGCACATCATGCAATGGCTTTTTGACGTTTTGTACAAACACCTCCTCCTCGTCCTCCTCCTCCTCCTCCCTCTCCCTTCCTCCTCGTCCTCCTCCCCCTGCACCACCGAGCTGGACTGAGATAATGAAGGACACTCAAGCCGCTTCGCGCAAAAAAGCGGACAGATCCCAGCACAGACCTCGAGCGAAACCCCGGTCAGCAGCCTCCATCAACGTCTCTCCTCTTGCTCATTCGCTGGGCTCCAACCCCCCTCCAGCAGCCCCCCCACCACCACCTCCCCGTCCAGTGACAGAGCCAATATCAGGCCCGAGTCCGCTTCACTTTCAATTAGCAGATAATAGAACCCGTGGTTTTATTTCTTTTATTCTTTGCGCAGCCGCCTTGGAAGACACACGGACGCACAGTGGGGGGACGGAGAGAGAACAGAGCGAAGCAAAAAGATGGTTATCGACGTAATTAAAGTGAGGCAGCGCTGTTGTCTCGTCGCCTCTCATTATTAGAAGCACCTCTCTTTTGTTGTGCGCCTGTGTGCGTGTGTGTGCGTCGAGTCTGTGTGTGTCGTTAGCCGGGTCTCCCCCCCTCTCTCTCTCCCCTATACACACACACACGTGGCTTTATAAAAGGACTCCTCGGCGTTTTAGTTTAAACGGGAGTCCCCGCTGGATAGAAGAATCCACAGACCGTGGCGATGTCTCCCAAATATTCCGCAGCCACCAAGCTCTTGACTCTACTGCTGGTCCCGAGTCTGGCTCACGCGATGCACGTGAAGGTGAGTGCTGCGGGTACTTCGACACGTCACGCGTGATGGACCTCGAAGTGCACCTAGCCTGGCACGAGCGCCGTGGTGACGTCACCGCCACTTAGTGGCGGTTGTTGTTTTCTGTTGTGTTATTTGTTGTTGTTGTTGTTGGACCTCAACCCAGCGTCTCCGCGCTCATGCACACGCCAGGCACACGAGGTGCGCGTAGCCGAGGGGTAATGTGAACCGGAGCAGTCCGGAACGCCGTTCCGGGAATTGTTTTGGCACTCAGCCACATCATACATCTCGCCTTCGTGTTGTCCTCTTGACGGATACTTGTGATGTGTGTGTGGCGGTAGTGGTTAGCGCGCTGCGTTACAAAACCGGCGACCCGAGTTCGATTCCCGCTCAGGGGACAACACCAGCGGAGTGTAAACATCGCTGCTGGGGAGACAGAGGCGGTCGGGCGTGGTGTTGGCCACCCACCACCTCGTGTAACGTACCGGCCTTCACAAGTGCCCGCTGACAGCACGTATACGTGCTCTTACACAGCAGATCCGTGCGGTGTACGTAACGAGCCGATCTCATTCTCTTGTTCTGATGCGTTTGCAGAGACCCCCTTCGATTCCGTTGCCCCTAAATCCTCCCCGTGCGTAAAGTGAGTGAAGACGAACGCAGCTAAAGCCATGGTAATTCCGCTACCAAGGGCAATGCATGCGATGCAACAGCCCCAGTGGTTCCGTTACAGCGGAACGGTGAATGCAGCTTCTTTTTTGTGCTTATGATTATTATCATCATCACCCTTCCCCCGCACCTCCGATTAGCACGGCTGGCTAGGTACGGTGCGAAAGAAGTTGAACATACATAGATCGGTCCAGGGTCTCTGGGCTCCAAGTGAAGCTACCCCTGTAGGGCCGTTACCGTAGAACTGCGATGCAGCTGTTCCTGTAATTCCGTTACCACTTGAATCAAGATAATTTATATTCTTGGTTCTTTCGGTAAAGTCACGTTGAAGGGAAGCAATAAAATAATAAAATATATATTAAACAATAAAATTCAACGTGACTTTACCGAAAGAACCAAGAATATGAATCACTGCAGTCACGAAAGATTTAAATCAAAATTCAAGATCATTTAGTTTATTTATGGCATAATGAATTTCCGCATGATGATAAGCAACTTTGTTGAGCTAACATTTGTGGCCAGGTCGCTTCTGCAAAAATAAGCTAATGATTCGGTGGGCTTAACATGGTAAGTTAAAACATATATGTATAATTTAGTTTTATTTGTATTTTTTTCAAGTGATTTATTTACCTTTCCTATATTCTGGACTCCTATCGCGTGTTTTATATTTTGTTTGTTGTTGTAACGTTCTGACCCGCCCCTACTGGACATCTGTGAAAAAAGAGCTTTATAGCTCATCGAATTCCTCTCAAGCATAAGTAAAGATTCTGATTCTGATTCATCGCTGTAGGCTCAAGCGGCTCTGCTTGAAGTGTACACGCGCGCGCGCCTCGGGTTGGGTTTCGATGAGTGGTCGTGGTGGTGGTGGTGGTGATGGTGGTGAAGTCGTGGACTTAACGTGCACATAGCCTGGCACAAGCCGTGGTGACGTCACCGCACTTAGTGGCGAACGGCGGTTGTTGATGGTGGCGGTGGTGATGATGGTGATGATGACGGTTGTGGTGTGGTGTCTACGCAGCTGCGCGCACCGCGGCGTGAGTTTTACTTTCATCCCCTACCCCGCACGCAGGAGCTTCAACTGCCCGAGGATCTCAGGGTTCTCTACGATTCCCAGGACAAGAGGGACCTGCAGCTGGGCTCCTACCGGAGGAACCTTCGTGAGTGAATCGTTGCATCGCGAGATCCACGCCCCATCAGCCCTGGATCCATCAGCTGCCGCCCTTCGCTGTCGCCATCCCTCGTCGTGCTGACATTATAATCCGTAATCTGGCTCCGGCGCGTGAGCTAAACTCATCGCTTCATCTGCTCGCCTTGTCGTCCGCTCGAGGCGCGTGCTCTCCTTTTCCTTCGGCTTCCGTTCCTTTTCGGGTCTCTTCCCATAGGCTGTCGTTCGTTCATTCAGATCGACGCGTCCCGCTCAAGCGCACTTAGAGTCTTCTTAATCATCGTCGACACGTTCTGTCTGATCCACATATTTCTCTTGGCGTCTACCAGTTATTACACGTTATTTAAAAGTGTAAATATTCAAGATCTATACGACATCGCTGGTATTGTGCACTGATTGAAGACTTTCAGTTGATTTTTTTTGGGTTAGATCGCGTAAATATAAATGTGTCGTTAAACCCGCCACCACAAATCTGGCTGCCGCCTGATGAAGATAGTTGTAATTACTGGCGAAACGTCGTACTCGGATTGTGAATGTTGTGGATTTGCTCCCCAACACACCGGTGCTGCTGTACTCGTAACGAATTGGCATGTTTTGCTCACGTGACAAATCTTACTAATTGGCTGTGACGGGTGGTGGCGGGTTTAACGACACATTTATATTGACGGGATCTAACCCAAACAAGCATAAGCCTCGTACGTGTTAATACAAGTCTCGGTTGTGACAGGGCACGCAAGACAGATTCTACCACGGGTCGGAGATTAATTAAAGTGGTTTTTTTTCTTTACACAGTTTCTAAGCAAAGGCCCAAAGGCTTCACACGTCAAACGGGCAGCAACAATCAGCACGGTCAAATAAGCAATACAAAAAGAGTTCAAATAGTTACGTACATTTTCATAACAGGCGACGTTGATGCATTTCGTCATGTGTAAGGCTGTGAAATGGTAATCATAAGGGCTACGTATGTCCAGTAACCGTATGCACACTGCATGTATGGCAACGCGAGAGCGATGCGGCCTCTAAATCAATCATCATGTGGTTCTCGCCTGGAACACTCCCGTGATGATGATGATTGATGTAATGGCCCCCACATTGGAGAGTGCAGTACAATGAGGAAGGGCCACTGCTCGAAACGTCGCCGATTATACGTATTTATTTTTCCCCTTTTAAGGCTAAACAGCGTTCTTGACGAAAGGAGTTGAGTTACTCTTGTGATTATTGCTTTGTCGCGAAAACGAAATACTTTGAAGTGAATGAGTGCGTTTTGCGAGATTCCGCGATGATTGTGCGATTGCGTGAATGAGTGCAGCTTGAAAAAAGCGCTTGCCGTATGTTGAGGGCTCGTGCGGGTACATGCGTGATCGAGTGAATTGGTGATTGAGCGATGGATCGGGTTACTTAGCGGGCGACTGAGTAACCAAGTGAATGAGTCTCTGCGCAAGTTCGCGAATCCGTTACCGTGTGAGTTCGCACAAATTAAATAATTTCAAAAGTTCGATACCGATCTCACGAATGAATTAAATTTACTGAATGGGTTCGTGAGTGAAATTATTATGTGCGTTAGCTGCTGAGTGAGTTCGCGACCGGGTTATGACAGTGGATGATGGACTCGTGAATCCAACTGCGGATTTCGTGAAGGAGTTCGTGGCCACTGAGTTCGCTTCTGAGCATTCATTATTGTGCAGCGAATGAGTTCGCGAATTCGTGAGTTCGCTTGCGGAATGAATTCACTTCTGAACGAGTTCGTAAATTGAACGAGACAACAGTGGATTCGCTGTTGAATGGGGTACGAATTGGTGGGCGAGTTGGCGAGCGAATTGGTGGGCGAGTTGGTGAGTGATTTCGTGGGTAAATTGGTGGGCAAGTTGGTGAGCGAATTGGTGGGCGAGTTGTTGGGTGAATTGGTGGATGAATTGGTGGGCGAGTTGGTGAGTAATTTGGTGGGTGAATTGGTGGGAGAATTGGTGGGCGAGTTGGTGGGTGAATTGGTGGGCGAGTTGGCGAGCGAATTGGTGGGCGAATTGGTGGACGAGTTGGTGAGTGAATTGGTGAGCGAGTTGTTGATAGCCCCAATGCCCGCGCGTCCACCCACGCAGGCTGCATCGACATGCTGAGCGTGGAGGGGAGCTTCACGTTCACGTCGAGCGAGCCGGGCCAACGCTGCGCACTCTTCCTCATCGCGAACCCGGACGAGACTCTGCTTCTGCACTACACGGACGTGAACATCGACTGCGGTGCAGGGGACTCGCTCACGGTAGCCCACCACTAGGATCACCCAGCTCCCACCGCCGACCGGCCCCCATTGTCTTCTCAAAGCGATGCCACAATACATATCCCCCCCCCCCCCTCTCTTTCCATCGCTTCAAAGTTACGACCAAGCCAACCTCAACCCCTCCTGAACCACTGCTGCCTGCTCTCTTAACTGTCACCATAACGTAAGCCACCACTTTTAAGTGGTGGTTTATCTCAACCACTGGCATCTTATGTACAATTTTATTCTTGCTGTGAAGTACCTTGGAATATAGGCGCTATATATAAATGTAAATAATAAGATCTCGCTCCCCCACACAACGGCCTCTCCTCTCCTGTGGCAAGCTTTTGTAATTATTTTAATTATGATTTTGGAATTATTTTGTGCATCCCGGTACCAGGCTGTTCCTACAGATGGGGTGCATCGTTGTAGGATTTTTTCAATACAAAAATAAATGGTTGTTAATATAAAAATAAACTAAGTAATTTTGTTATTTTACCAGGTAAGGCTCGCTGAGCTATATCACTCTCTTTCGGAAGAGACCTGGCTGCCACAAATGATAGCCCAACGAAGTGGCGGCTTATCATCACGTGGAAATCTAAAGCAGCCGAATCTCCGAAACGCATGTTTCCAAATGTGGAGGGAAAAATCGGAGGACCCGGAGAAAAATCCACGCGACCACGGTGAGAACATGTAAACTCCAAATATACAGGCCTCCTGTATACCTGGCGAGGTAGTTAACATCTCGCCAACGCGGAGCCCCAATATAAAACCGCATTTGCATGAGTGACTCTAAGCCTCCTTTGTATTTCGCCTTCTGCCATTCATTCCAGCCAAGGTTTTTTTGTATTATCTAGGTCAACGGCCATACGTCTTACGCAGCTCATCATCAGTTATATAGCTCCCTGATTTGTTCCGGTTATAATGAGGTCATACGTGACTCCCTGAGATGGAAATTACCCACGTTCCGAGCCTGACTCACAATCGGACTAATGGAGTTTATTATAATATATTCGAGAATGTATCGCATTGTCCGGATTATAAGGTGCTCCAGGAAATTAAGAATGCAGCCCAAACATTTGCCCGGTGTCAATACAATTATAGAAATTTGGCCACAAAGGCAAAGGCATATTACACACACGTGTACCTGATTATAAGACGCACCCGGAAATGTTGCTTTACAGAATGCGTCTTATAATCCGGAAATTGTGAACAGTCATGGTGAGATCTTTACTACCTCGCCTGGTATGCAGGAGGTTCGTGGGTTCGATCCCGAGCCCTGACGAAAATATATTTAGAATTGGCTTGGCTCTCTCTCTCCGTGGTCGTGTGGATGTGTCTCCAGGTTCCATATTTAGAAACATGCGTTGAGAGTATTTGGCTGCTATAATTTCCATATTGTAAGCCACTTTGTTGAACTATCAATTGCGGCCAGGTCGCTTCTGATAAGAGCTGTTTCAATCAGTGGGGCCTTACCTAATAAAAGAAATATAGTTTAGTTTAGTGACAATGTATGTACTGCACATTGACCTTCTATCGCACCGTACGTAGCCAACCGTGCTCATCGGATGTGCCGGATGATCCCCATGTAACCGATGGTCCCCCACTGTTCTGACGCCTGTGTGACCACGCAGGTGTTTGACGGCTGGGTCATGAAGCGGCAGACGTTCCCGGGAAACGGGGACTACCCCCTGCCGGCCGAGCGCCGCTCCCGGGACTTCTGCCGCGGCCTCGGCTCTCTGCAGCGCACGTTCAGCTCCAGCCAGAACGTGGCCATGATCCTGTTCAACATCGCCACTCCGGGACAGGGTTTCACCGTGGCCGTGAGGAAGGCGCTCAGCCACGCTCGTACGTTTGCACCGAAGGCGATAGTCGATGTGTCGCTTTATTCTACGAAAGGGTACAGGCCATCTGTAGCTGGCATCATGGTACAAAAAAAGCGCAAACGCTCTCACAAATCACTTAATTAGGAAAATAAAAACACAGTACAACTTCGTACCCTTCTGGAAGACCAATTAAGGAAAGGTGGATGTGGTGTGCCACATCCAACTTACCTCGATTCGCCGTAAACCTGTTCATAGGATTGTATAATTATCGGGTGCAATAATATAGGATGTTATGGGTACGTGTAGAACCTTGTACTCTTGTGACAGTCCCTTGCACACATCATCCCTAACTGCAAAGCCAGCCTAGCGGTGTTCCTGAAAACATCGAGTGAGAAATTAAGCCACTTGTGTACGAGTCCATATACACACCAACCCACGTGGTGGGTGTGCCTCTGTGTCTCCCTGTGCACGCGCGCGTGTGTGCGCACGTTCATTCCGGCCTTCATAGGCGCGACTCGCAAAAAGCACTTGCCCCAATAGTATGTTAAAGCTATACGGGGGGGGGGGGGGGGTGGACCTTTGTATTTGTGCGCAGCATGTAACGCGGTGTCGCCCAGCGCGGACGGCATCCACACGCTGGCGCTGCCGCCCGACCGGGCGAGCTGCAGCTTCTCCATCATCTATCCCGTGGCGCTGGAGCTGTTGACGATGCGGGACAAGGGCGCCAGTGCAGGGGACACCGCCGGCCACGGACAGGAGGATGTGCAACAGCTCGTAAGGGACCGCTCGTTCGTCCATCCATCTATACATTCATCGCGCATAGTCAGCGATGGGGCCGTTGCACCAAACGCGTGACCGGCTTGCGTCAGCATTCGCATGAACTGCTCTTGGCTGCTATGCACCGGCGTCTCGAGTGATGTTTGATCCCACGAATCACGGGGGGGGGGGGGGCGGGGGGGGAGGCGATCACGGGGTACGGTGCCATTCCTTGGAGGGTGCCAATTCTCACTTGGAACGTCGAGCGCCAACCGAAGCGCGCAATTTGCTGCTGGAGTTGGCGCATCGAGACGGGGCGACGTGTCCAAAGTAGTGACACCACAGCCGTCCCGCATATTCTCACACAGCGTGCCACCGTTGACGCAATGGCACGCCTCCGCTCTCTGTCCACAGAGCTGGAGTTCGCCGATCGGCAGGTCGCGAGCGGTGGTGGTTGTTGTTGTCGGTGGTAAAGTGCCGGTTACTCCCACGGGTTACTCTGCCAGTCGTTTCAGTCAGTCAACCCACGACACCTGAGTCTGTCCCGTGACCTACCGTGAGCGAGCCTTCGACACCGCACGTGGCGGCCTCAAATATGCGCGTGGCCTGGCACAGGCGCCGTGGTGAGGTCACCGCCAGTTCGTGGCGAATGGCAGCTGTTGTTGTTGTTGTTACTCACACCTATTCCAAGACATCTGGCCAGCGTGGAAGAATTTTGGTATAAAACAAAAAATAGCAGCACAAGCGGGCTTCGTTACAGGCGGGTCAGTGCGGATCGACGATCCAGAACATATTTCCGCACCAGGCACATCACATCCAGTATATCCTTCTCACTATGCCTGTCGCTGCCAGTCAACGTGGCATGCTCTCGGTAATACCAGCGACCCTGGTAATCATACAGCGATATCAAATTAAGCCCTGACCTTAATCCTAACACTAACCACCCCTCTCATCCCACGGCTAACCCTGACCCTATCTCTGGCCCATTCGGAAGGTGGCGGCGGCGGTGGTGGTGGCTGCTCGTCACGCACCAGCCTCTCTTGAAAACATTCAACGAGGAATTAATCCGTGGACGCAATTGCGTCCACGAGCAGCCGAGACCAGTCCCCCCCCCACGTGCGTGGTGGGGCTGCGTTACGCTCTCGTGCGTGCGTGCGTGCGTGGTTATTTTCGTGCCAAAAAAAATTATAAAACAAAATTTTCATTTAAAAAAAAAATCCAGGTTGCCACAAAAGAGATGCACTTTCCGCTCAGGGACCAGTCGATGACCCCAATTTCACACTCATTTTCAGTCAATGCACATTTACCTAAGGCATCTATTGCCGGGCAATGGCCATTGTTCCTCGCCCGTAACCTCTGAACTTTGGAAATGTTAAAGAGAAGCAGTTTGCTGCTCGGTGATATTACACTGCCAGGAGATAAAATTAATACGCTATCATTATTATTTCGGGGGCCCGCAGGTCCACTCCGGAAATTGGATGCGGAGATAAAAATCAGGCAATTAAATAATGTTTTATCGACGGATGGAAATCTGCATGCCCGAGTGTTTACCAGTAATGACGAAGATGGATTCTGCGAAAAAGGGGAGGGGGGGGGGGGCCTGCGCTATCGCGAGCAGTCGCGAGAATTCCCTGCGCCCTGGGAACGCCGCTTATTGTTTATCCCTAATTGAAAGGCGCTTATTTGTAATTGCTGCTTTGCTTTGGCCCGAGAGCGCTCATGCGCGCGGGCGCGCGCGTGCCTTGTCGCCCCACCGCTCCGCGCAGGACGCCGAGTGCGACGCGGGCGCCTTCGTCCAAGTGCTGGGCGGCAACGGTCTCAATCCCAGCACCATGAACAGCCTGGCAACGTTCTGTTCCACGCTCTCCTCGCCAGGTAACAAAAAGCGACAGACTGGAGACGATCTCCCCCCACCCCCCCACCCCCCACCCCTCCCCTTGGGTACCGTGCGCTTTGGGGCAAAACGGAGGCTCAGAGCCGAAATGAAGAGTTTTACTTCACAAGTGGTTACGCGCATCGTTCCTTCTTCTCTCTGGCATTTGCTATCGCCGTCGTTCACGGCCGCGCTTCATCCACTGCCAAAGTTAACATTGCACCGAACACTTGTGTTGCCGTTATGAATGTATGTATGTTGAACTTCTTTCGCGCCGTACTTGGCCAACCGCACTAATCAGAGGTGCGGGAGAAGGACCACAAACTAAATACAAAAAAACAGTTTTAGATAAATGAGTTTTCAACCGAAATTATTTAAAAGTGCACAGCTCCAGTGGCTTCCTGATATTTAAAGGAAGAGCGTTCCAGACAGCCGCAGAAGCGCATCTCAAAAGTGTGGCGATGCAGTGACCACCGTCTTTTATTCGATGGCCAGCCAAAAATCCGCCTGCTGCGAGGATAACCGGAGTTCGCGCGATGACGGTCAACGCTCCTCATCGAGGCGAGCAAGGTGACGAATTGTGAATTGACGAGCAAGGTGACGAACTGTGTGCCCCCCTGCTTGCGACTTGCTGTGCCCGCGACCGGCAGTGGAGTTGGCGGCGGGCTGCGAGCACACTGTGGTGCGGCTGGTGGGCAGGCCCGGCACTCGGGCTCAGGTCACCTTCTCCTTCCGTCGACTCACGCCCAACGACACCGGCAGCTCCCACGCTCGATGCCCCGTTCCCTTCTAGCCCCGAGGAAGAGCACCACGCCGCACACACACACACACTATATACACACACGATGACAGATACCACCCCCCCCCCCCCCCCCGTGTAGCCTGCACACGCTGTGATAGTGGGCATCTACGAAAGCCGACAACGGCGCATAAAGAGGTGGGTGGTGTAACCGGGGGGGAAAATAAAAAAAAAACACGTGGCCGCCTTTGTCTCCGCAGTGCTGTTGTTTACACACCGCACCAGGTAATAAAGCAGAGTCAACCTTGGGGAGGCGCACGGCCCGTTCAGATATTTGCCACTGATGTTAGCCGTAGCCAGGAATCAAACTCACGGTCGCCACGTTCACAGGGCAGCGGGCCACTCGCTAACGCCCTCCGCTGCTCGTGCCAGCCTTGTTAGGTGCTTTGCTGGCAGCACTTGGCCCAAAAAAGTATTTGACGGCTACAGGGGGATATTTGTCTGAAGCTGCACACACTTTTGACCATGCAGGGCCCCCCCCCCCCCATTCGCCCTGCAAGAGATGTCAATGTACAGTCGTGAAACAGGCCAACCCAGCGGTCGCTCTCTTGACGTAGACCGCGGGGCTCGAACGGGATGGGGCCCACCAATCCACGCGGTTGGGCTCTTGTGGCCAACGGCTCAATTGTCTTTAGACGCCCCCCCCCCCCGACAAGGGACGTACAAAAGCAATGGTAACAATGGCAAGTTTGCGTAAAATAGTGAGAAGTCGTACAACGCTTTTGTGTATTTATAGCGCATGCATACCTTACAGATGCTGATAATGTAATAAATATTTACTCTGCATATATATAAAATACATACTGTATATGATGTATTACAGCAGTTTAAATGAGGGAATATCCAATAACCTCAACAAACGCAAAATCTCCCTTATCAGTATTAACGCCTCGGGAAGCCAAGGAGAGCCGTGGTGACGTCACGTGCTTTTCCAAACGCCCTTGGACACCGGTTGTGTGTATGGGGAGATTGTGTTTCCCTCTGGATTCCACCCTTGTGATGCTTACGCTTGATCCTTTCCTTACATACAACGCAGAGTTGTTGCATTCCTTGTAAACTGAGGTCGCAGCCTCCTCCTCCACTTCTATGTTTTAATCTGTGTCAATAAATGTTGATAGAATTAGAGGCGTCTGTGTCATGACAAAAGTCGTCTTTTTTTTTGTCAACGTCGCATGTTGCCGTGTTGTTCACATGAAGGGTACAGGAAGGAAATTACTCTTGCATAACCGCACCAGATGACCGTCGGTTCACATTCGCCGCACACGTTTTACTGCGTCCACTTTGAGACGTAGCTAACGAACCGTGAGGTGTTCCATCAATCCGAAAACAGCGCTTTTTTAAATTGGCCCGCGTACGTCCACCGTGGAGCCCCGTCAAAAGCACCCCCCACGACCACTCCCAACGACACCCAGCTTCTGCCCCGACGCTCAGACCCTTAGAGCCCAACACGGCAAATTATACGGCGGTCATTTAGACGGCTGATAATATTGCCCGGCCTGAAACTAATTTCCTTGAGCACTTTTGCCAGTGACGAGTGCTCGATAACGATTCAATTTGCGGGTTACTGCCAATGCCCCTGGCGTAATGGCAAGGGTGGCTGGCCGCCCATCAGATAGCACAGGATAGGCAGGAGAATCCTCGGTAGGCACTGGGGAATTATATACTTGCCCTGAGGGGGCAACTGTGAAGATAAAGTGAGGACGGGGTAAGGAGGTTAAAGAGAAATTACCGGGTCATTACTGCGTCCCTCAAAATAATCTCTCCGTCTCACCCGCCACTGTGTGGCTTCCAAAGTAAATGTCACGTCCGTAGGTCTGTCTGAAACCAAATGCCCGACATTTGTTTAAAAACCAAAAAGCAGTACGAGATCAGAATGGCAATTCAGCAGTCGGCGTTTTAATTATGTTTAATAGAAAGGGCAAAGTACAGTCCACAATCATCTGAATAAAAACTCGCTTCATTCTGCAATTCTTCGCAGCAAGGGCTGCCTCTAATCCCTAGTCGGCAAAATGCCGTGCGAAGCATCGGAACGGCCCACACACAACGCACGTAGAGACGGAAACGATACAGACGGGAGATTCCCCACCGCGTGGCCTGTGGGATGTATAGGGTGATCAGGACTAGTCTACACGCAGCTGTCAACGAATATAAACAAATATGTAAAATAGAACAAAGTAAACTTTCAACGCACCACCCAGGTGAACCGTGAATGTCTTCATGAGTGCTTATTTCTACTCTTTGGATACAAAATAAATGAGACAAACAATAAAATCTGTTTAAAACATATATCCGGTATTTAAAAAAACACATTATAACATAACGAATAAGCTACCTGCTTCTAAAAGAACATGGCAATTGTTTTGATAAGTGGTAAGTACACATTCATAGAAATATCATCCAGACTTGAGTTTCCACTTCAGGAAAACATACTGCAAACACATTTGTGTGGAATGTCTGACATATCAAGATCAACCGCAGTTATTGTAATTTTGAGGAAGCTAAAGCAGAATTTCTGAAATGTATTTTCTTCTAAAAGGTCACCAATAAACCTGAAATTGTTATTTATACACTGTCAACATACTTACATTATTAACAGCTTAATAATATGTACTTAACTTGCACATCAACGTAAAGACTTGCAACTTATAGTTAGGAAAGGGGAATGTCTAATCCAGCAGAAAAACTGAATTGGTTCTCACTGGAAAGAAAACATGAGCTGACAATACTGCTGCTCATTTAAGACCTCAAAATTTATTTTACATTTATAAAGCAGCATAACATTGCAGGCATAAATCAAAGGATAAATAGGCAATATTTTTTTTTGCCAAACAGACGGGAAAACCTACAAAAATCCAACCTGTGAATTTTAGGTCGGGGTGGTTTCTTCGATTTAACCAAATAATGCATGTACAAGTGAGCCCTGTTAAATACAATAAGTGGGATGCACTTTAATTTAAAATTGTGTACAATATTTTTTTAGTTTACACCACTTTATTAATTGGTATTTTCATATTCAAAGATTAATTTGGCACGGAGGAAAAAAAACACACTAACGCTTGGCAGTTGTGTTTAAAATTTTGGCCCCTGGACGACTATATATGCCACTCGTTAGTTTACATTTCATTTGCCCTTGTTATTTTTTTATAAGCTGTTGTGCAAGTAATCAGTGTAACCGTCAGTTCCAGTGAAGTTCCAGTTCCCAGACGCGGCTTTCCACCAGCAACACCTGCTGTCAACCCTGCCCGACAGGGCACAGCTACGTCGGGGTCACAGGGAAACGGACTGCATTCCCAAGATGCGCAGAATCTCCGCTTGCACCTTGTGGTCCTGTGTGTTGATGTTCGCGTCGCCAACCTGCCCATCTTCGTACCTTAGCAGGGAAGTAAATATATAAATGCACTGGACGCCCAATGTGTACTATATATTGCCTTTTAAACAAATTACACATGTTAAGTTTTCACGTGCACATTAAGCGTGGCATATTTACTAGCCGGCCAAGAGTTTTAAGAGTTTGACTTACACAAAAAAGAAGCGAGTGCAGACGTGATCAGACATGGGGCACACCCAGATGTTTCCATGCTTCTGCAGGTCCTTCGATGTGATGACTGTTTCATGAACAGAAAATACACATGCACACATGAGGCTGAGCAAAATTGAAGTGATGCTGAAAACAGTTCAAGGTCACTACACATAAAGAAAACCACTCCAAACTATTGATACAGAGGGCCAAAAGGCCACAAGATTAAGTACCCTTTCTGTCTTTAAACTGCTCGTCGACCTTGATATTTTTTTACTTGTATATATACGCAGACAAATCCATGAAAACACTGTCTCTCCGCGAAATAGAATCTTTATTTATCCTGGAGAAATCTGATGAGCTCTTTTTCAGATGTCCAGTAGGGGCAGGTACCTATAGCTACATAATTAATAACGCAATTCGAGAACTCTATGTACAATGTATAGACATACCTTCGCAGAGTGCAATGCAGTTTAAATTCCGGCTCTGCAAAAACCTCGACTGCATGGTTTTTATCTGATGGGCGAAAGAAGAGTGCCATTTTATCACATTTGCCAACAGCGCAATATACATTATAAATTCCATGCTATGCAAAAACAACAATTTGAATTCAAATAACATCTAAATGCCATCGCATCTCAAGACACTTTAAAAATAAGCTGCGGCAGGGTAGAAAGGGGGGTGGGCGTGGAGCGGTCAGGATGGAAACACGTGGGAGAGAGACAAGCGAGAGAAACTCTGCGACACGGCTCAGGATGAAGCAATTGGATCTCGGCACCACCGACAACAAACATCCACGTGGACAGCTGTGGCAGCACCAGGGAGTCACATAGCATCCTCAGGGATCACAGCCCTTCAATACAAATGATTGTACATCTCGGCTGCACACCTGTGGTGTGGTGTTGACCCGGTTGCAATTCTGTACCAGTTTCTCTTTCGATTCCATCCTGTGCTGTCCCTTCCCCATCCCTGCAAACATGTAAGAAAAACAAATATGCAACAGACATTTGGTGAGGTGCTACTGCGTTGACAGTGATGCACAAGCGCAAACAAAAACACTCAACACGTCCGTCAATAACACTACTCCGAAGAAGAAAAAAATATACGAGTGAATTCTCAGGCTGTGGCCCCTTCTCTTCGATACGAAGACGACTAACGTGTTGAATAAATACTGGAGGAAAAAAAAACATGACAGCACACTTGTTTAACAATAACAAACTTTTGAATCGCGCAGCAGCACTGCTCAATGGGTCTACACTGCCCTCTGGTGCACACACATTTCCCACAGCCAACAACTCGCTCACCAGAGTAGCCAAAGCTAATGCTGGAGATGGGGCTCAAGTAGATCCCCTTTCCATAGGCAGCTCCATGAAGCTATTGGGCAAAAAAGTTAATTTAACACAAGCACACAGAAGCACAAATGACACCTTACGAACTGGGTATATGCACACACACTTCTGTCCATCAACTGCTGGACGAGGAAGGGCCTTCCTGCCCCATATGGGTCATGGGGGTCATTTGGCCGTACTTCACCACGCCAGTCGGTGTGGGTTGGTAAAGGTGGCAAGCATAGGTGTGGGGGGCATAGATGTCTGCTAGCCATGAGAGGACTTCATCCATAATACAGGTTTTTTTGGGCTAGATCACATAAATATATAAATGTCTTTAAACCCGCCACTACCTGACAGTCAATTAGTAAGGTTTGTCACGTGAACAGAACATGCCAATTCGTTACTAGTATAGCACACCGGTGTGTTGGAGAGCAAAGCCACAACATTTACAATCTGAGTACGACGTCTCGCCAGTAATTACAACTAGAAAATTATATTAAAATAATAAATCACGACGTTTCGAACGCAACACAAGCAATCATCATCAGGTGTAAAACAAATAGTGAGGGAGCACATAGGGGGACATCACGTACATAGCACATAGAGAACGTTAAACTGTACGGAGGAAAATACAACAAGATGAGAGACGAGAACTCAACAAACCTAAGAAAAATAACGTGATGCAAAACCAGTCGGCCAACAACACAGTTAGACACTGACCTGGTTAACCACGAATTTCAGAAGACTGCTAAATTTCGTGTTCATCCTCTGGGTTGAACAAACCAGCATAGACAGAGTGAACAAATACGAGGTACAAGGTAGCAGAGATACATACATAGGGAAGAACATCCAAGGAAACATATATTGGGCAGCACAGATGGACAACCAGAGTAACACCACACCAAGAGACAAAAAGGACCGGAGGGATGACGGACAGAGACTTAAATAAGCTGCAGAGGTGGGGGGAGGGGTTGAAGACAATGGGAACCTACGCAGAGAGACCACATGGATGAGCAACCAACCCGGACAGCAACGGTGCTGAAATAAGCTGTAGAGGTGGGGGGGATGATCGCTTGTGCTGCGTTCGAAACATCGCGATTTATTATTTTAATATAATTTTCTACATACGTGACTTTACCGAAAAAACCAATGAGTATAGTCATTTATGCAGTCACGAAAGCTTCAATTGTATATTAATTACAACTAGGTTCATCAGCCGACAACTAGATATGTGGAGAAAGCCTCCTGTTTCGTTCCTTAGAGGGCAAGATGTGAAGACACTTGTGAGGAACTTCTTGAGCGAAGTGGGGGGGGGGGGGAGATTAATGAATGCATATACATGATCATGGGTATCCATTGCCGGTTGGATTATCTGTATGGTAATCAACGTTCACTCTGCATGCGCATTATGCAAGCCCATTATTCTTGTACCTCCTGTCGATTGCGTGCACTAAAATAGCCGTACCTGTTAGTGTTCAACGGTAATCCATATTGAAGTATGGTGACCTGTATAGGCATGCATTTAAACAATGTATTACTTGATGATTCGCTTCCAAGCAGCACGAAGGCTGTAGCTATCCAAACAGTTAAAATATGTGTATTTCTCTCAATTTCTAGATTCTTTCATTAATCTTGGCCAGTAGTAACGAGTTTTGCACAGAACTTCAACATTATCAAAATCAATTGAGTCTCCTGTTGGCACGCATCTTCTGCCACTACTGACAGTTGTATTTGCGAGTATTTAATATTTATTTGGTGTTCTTTTACTCTCGTGCTGATCATTCGTCCTGTTTGCTCAACATAGCATTTGCCACACGTGCAATTAATCCGGTACACACCTTCTGTTGATAGCTTTGGTAATACAGGGTGTTTAAAAAGATGGACCCAATTTCAAAGCAGTATATTTCACGATGACAACATGTTACAATTACACAAAACGTTACAAACGGATCAATGAGTTATCAAGTTTTAGTAACCATTTTATAAATGCTCTATGTGCCCTCCACCTGCTGTACGGACAACATCGAGACGATAGTTGAATTCGTCCCAAACGCCTCTTTCTCACGTTTTCCTCTGAGGTGCGTGGTCGCCCTGTGCTTTTCCCCTTACATCAACAGCCTGCTTCCTCAAATTGTCGGTACCAACAACGAATGCTCTTTGACATTGGCGGATCAATGCCAAAACGCCGCTGAAATGCACGCTGCACCGCAATTACGGATTAAGTCTTGCTGAACTGCAGAACACAAAACGCCTTGTGTTGCGGGGTTACCATCTTGCGAATGACTGAGGCTAGGGGCTATTGTGCGCTGTGAGAGGCATCTAGCGGTAATCATTTGAAACTCTATGCCCCGCCCTTTCAAGTGGTAAGAGTTTCATTCATGGGCGGTTCATGGTTGCAGAGATATAGCGATTTCAAATCGGGTCAATCTTCTTGAAACACCCTGTACATTTTTTGTACCAGATATAAATTTCTGTATTTTATGTACCGTGCCAAATCTGACTCGGATGTTTGTTTTTTCAAACATCTGGCTAGTTTATCAGTTATTCCCGCAATGTACGGCATTTTAATAGTTTAATTGACTTGGTCAGTTTAAATGGTCTTGTTATTTGATTTGGTGTTGGCATTCAGTGTCATGCTCATATGTGTATCATTGTAACCGTTCAAATGCAGAGCTTCTTTAAGATGTTTAATTTCACTTCTCAGACTAACCATATTCCTCTATTGAAGGAGCGCAGACCACAGCGGTTTACTATATGGCCCATAGTTTTGGTTGTGTGGCAACAGTCGCACTGTGGCTTGGTTTTTGTTACAGTTTTCAGTATTATAGCCCAAAGCTTATAATAAGATTCCCAGGAGGATATTCAAATATATCTCTATGTGGTGGTACAGTGGTTAGAGTATAATGTGTTGTGAATACTTGGCAACCCAAGTTTAATTCATGACCAAGGATAACATCAGTGGCGAGTGCTGTCTGAACCGGTCATGGGTTGTTCTACTTTCATCAATCCGCTTGATCCAGCGTGAAGTATGGTCCAAGAAACCCCCATGACCGAAAAACGGCATGGGGAGCAGGCCTTCATCCCAGCAGTGGTCAGAATAAAGCGCTGCGAGAAACGCGAGCAACATATCTGCGTGTACGCCGCATAGCGTTTGCGTGCAATGCAACTGACCTGGAGCTTGGTGTAGGAGGCGTTCACGAGACCGTTTCGCAGAATCGAGTGCCAGTTTTCCGTGTGTGATCCACTACAGGAGGTGTGACCACACGGAAATTACAACACAGAGCAGAAAGTTATGGAAGTCATCATTAACAACACGGCCTTTTCATAGAAATTCAGGGGAGGAGGGGTTGGGTTGGCACCAGCTTTGCCAAACTACATTGATCAGCGTCAAGTATGGTCCAACAACCACTGACCAACAGTGTGGGGTGGCCTTCATCCAGCAGCGGATTGAACAAACCTCTGCACCTATGCAGCACACAATTACAAGTCTATTACCTCTCTGCCCTCTCTGTATTCTGGAGGACCCATTGGTTGAATCATTAAGGCAGCATTTATAAGCTGTGCACTGACACTCCCTTATATTCTTTGTTGGATTAATTGCAGAAAGTGAGATGCCCCCACCTACCCCCCTCCCGCACCCCCCCATAGGAGCCCTGCAAGTGTTGCACGGTCCGGCCCAGGTGCCCCCCGGCCCCTCGTGCCGTGTGAACCACTCACTGAAAGGCGAACGAGCTGCCGTAGAGCTTCTTGGCAGCGCGGAAGCGGGCCTCCTTGGCCGGTGGGCTGCTGAGCAGCAGGAATTGGTGCGGAGTGTGCATGAACTTCAACTGCTGCTCTCACAGACAAGGCAGCACAGTCTCAGCACCTTCCTTTGCACTCAATAAACATTTGGAACATTTCACAGGTGCGTGACGGACACTTCGAGAAGGCAACGACCCGCTGTTTGTTTGTCCCACTTTACGAGTAATGTATACAGCTTAATCGTGTAGACTCATGGAATGCAACGCATATGTCGTCATTGAGGCTAAAAGAAACAAGTAAATTTTATAATTATTTAGAACTCCAATCTGTATGCGTTAAAATAACGTGCATAGAGGTTAAGGGTTGCTAGAATTAAACAAGTGGAAACAAAGTAACAACTGTTAGCCTGGGATTTTCAAAGAGGTGAATGATGCTCTCAGTTCCATGTACAGTAAAACCTTGGATTGTGGGTAACTTGGTCTGCGAGTGTTTTGCAAGACGAGCAATTTTTTAATAAATATTAATTTGATAAACGAGCGAGGGTCTTGCAATATGAGTAGTACGTATGCGCTTTGTCTGCCGAGCGTCACGTGATCACAACTGATATACGAGTGCTTTGATATACGAGTGCTTTGGATTACAAACACGTTTCCGGAATGAATTATGCTCGCAATCCACGGTTTTACTGTATATCTTATGTCTATGTCATAGTTCATTCTCTCCTGCCAGTTCGAGGACAATGTAGAGATGCTGCCCATCCTGGTGCTTCCAAACTTTACACGTCTTAGTTGACATGACTCAATTCATACATTCCCGTTTGATAAATGCATCAAAACTATCGGCATGAGAAAATAAGATGCATTTGATGAGTTGTATATTATTTTCATCTTTAATTCCATGATGAATGAGACAGAAGGAATCAGAGTACAAAGCAGAGGGACAGTAAAGGCAGTGGAAATGAGATGGAAGAAATGAGACAATGCATATAAGAGACTAACAACAATATTAAAACAATCTATGACACCAGTTGTGACCATGAATCGTGATGAAAAGCATGCCTCTTTATGATCATACTCAGCATTGTTTTTGCCACTAGATGACAGTGTGGTTACACAATAACATTATAAGAGTATGCATGACAGCACTGGACTTTAACAACATAAAATCGTAATGTTTTGCCAAATTTATGAATCCTTTTATGTTAGAAAATTAAACTAACAAAGTGACAATCCTAATAATTTAGTACATTTGCTATTCGTGCCATTCTTATAGTACAAAGCTATCAGGAAGGTACTACTATTCATAGACTGACTCTGTAGCAGTTACAAAGTATGGAGTGATGCTGCTTTATGTAAATATATTTGGAGTTATACTCTTTAGTTCTTTCGGTAAAGTCACGTAGGTATAAAATATTTTTTAAAAGAACCAAAGAGTATGGATCCCTGCAGTTACAAAAACTTCAAATCTATTTGGAGCTATTTTTTATTTGGCAAATTTGGACCATAGCACCGGCACAGAATGGCCTACTCCTTTCGAATGACATCACGGGATTTTTAACGTCCACTATCAAAGCAAGACGGCACTCAATTTTGCGGTTTATATGCCTGTGGTAATAACCGGGGAGGCCTGCTGGAGTCGGTGAATGCGCGACCGAGCGCGCCGCACCACCTCCACCGAGGAGAGGCCGTTGGAGGCTCTGACTATTCGACAGAGGGAAAATAGTCTCGAGGCGAAGATTAGAGAAACTTACCCGACTGCTTTGCAGCTTCACAATGTGGGAGCGGTTACTGGAAATTACCCTATCCCGGAGTGGCAGGCATGTGGGAGAGGGTATATGGGCTGAGCATTAGAGAAAAGACTTAATTCCACATATGCACATTTTACTTTGATACTGCGGGGGGAAAAAAAACCCCCCGTCATGTAGCTATATATCTGCAAGCGCTGATCCAGACTGCTTCTAAGCCGTGGTTACGCTCATGTAAAATGTAGCATTTGCAAAGTAGACGACACCCTATACATTGTTCAAAACTAATAGGAATGCTGTTTAATGATTACAATAACCATTACGTTAGTGTAGCCTACATATTAGATTCACTCTTAACTAAAACAGACATCAGTTTCTCATTAATAGAACAGGGGTATCGTGACAAAATCGATTCATATTACAGATTATTTCGCTTACCATACATGCATTAAATCACGTGTGAAAATCAGTGCCTTTTCACTTATATAATATGCAGTTGGTTCAAGTGACCCCCACAGCCCCTACAGGCACGACCATTCACTGCATGTCGGAAACAAAGAACTAATCCTGGAATCAAATGGTGACCCCAAACTGTCCCAATTCATCAATTTGCTTGGGGATGGGGGCGAATTGGGATTTGGGGTGGCGAGATGTTAACTCCCTTGCCTGGTTTACAGGAGGTCGTAGGTTTGACCCCAACCCTGACACCTGTATATTTGGAGTTTGCATGTCTTCTCTCCCCGTGGTCACGCGTATTTTTCTCCGGGTGCTCCAGTTTTTCCCTCCACATTTAGAAGCAACGTGCGTTAAGAGTATGTAGCTGCTATACATTTCCACGTAAGCCACTTCGTTGGGCTATCATGTTGTCAGGTTGCTTCTGAAAAAGAGCTATATATAGCTCAGTGGGGGCTTTACCTGGTAAAATAAAAAATAGTTTAGTTTTTAGTTTAGAATCATTCCACCCCTCGAATACCACAACATGACACTGCCAACGAGTTTCCAACATTGTTTCTTCCCTACCACTGCAGAAGGGGGTGTGCCAGAGAGTCCTGCTTGTCCATTTGCTTTTTGATGTCCAAATAGGATCCCTGCGCACCATTGGGGAAAATCCAAAAGGCAATCAACGCTTGAAATGCACAAATGCAACTTCATTCTACAACATCCGTGCAGAACATAATTCCTCTTTACGTGGCAACTTTACCTGGGTCCATACTCTTTGGTTCTATTCGGTAAAGTCACGTAGGTAAAAATAAAATAACAAAAAATCACGACGTTTCGGCCACAGCAGTCCAGTCCCTTCACCTGATGAAGGCCACTTGTGTTGTGGCCAAAACGTCGTGATTTTATGTTATTTTATCTTGACCTACGTGACTTTACCGAATAGAACCAAAGAGTATGGATCCTTGCAGTCACGAAAGCTTCAAATCTAGAATTTACCTGGGTCATTTCTCTCACCGACATGATGCTGTCCAATGCGCGCTGCAATCTCTCGTAGTTTTTTTTCTGCGCACACAAAAACAGCATGGAGAAAGCTGCAGCTTTAAGTCAATGGTTACTTAAACAACTCCTTTAGCTGAAACGTATGCATTAGCTATAAATAGAGCCTCAAAACTGATTTAATCAATCAATGTCAGTGGTAGGAAATAGCGGCGATTCAAGGAAAAACGACAACAACAAAAATCCAGAGCCTTACAAATGAAATAAAAAAAGAACAAATTAAGTGTTAGACGTACAGTTTAATGGGCTACCTTGGGGTTGAAGGCAAGGGCTTTGGGGTCGTTTGGGTCGACGACAGATGGATAGGGGTCAAAAATAATACTCTTGCGGGGAGACTCCAGTGCTGATCGGCACATGGCCAATAACAGGTCCACAACCTGCAGGACAAATCCACGACAATGTAATGTTAAGACAGAAAGTTACCCACAGACGCATACGGTGACCCCAACCCTGACACCTGTATATGTCGCCAGACACTCAACAACCAGTGTAAGGAATCTCCAGACAGCCACCAAGACACCGTGCAGAAAAGCAGCAGAGGAAAACGTTAAAACACCCTAACCTCGTGGACAATCCAACAAAAACACCACGTGTGTTTAATGTGCTGTGTATAATGTACTATGTATGTAAACACAGAATGGTTATGAAAACAGAAAGAGTTAAACATATGAGTGACTTATTCCTTTGCTTGTATTTTAATGTAAAAATGCCTTTGTGGTTATTTTACAGCTCATTCAAAGGATGCATGCACGTGAATTGTTAAGATATCTGTAAACAGGAGTTTGGCAGAACAGTGTAACTGGTAAAATGAAGATTTTATTCTAAAATCAAGACCAACATGAGTAAACATATTACATCAAATATGGTAGCAATAAAGGGAAAGGAATTGTCAGAAATAATCAGATTCACCTTTCAAGCAAATTATTTAAATTCTGGACTATATTCAATTTGGTTCTTCGGTCTGACCACAAAGGGCATCCAAAATAGAGGTTTTTCGGTTAGATCGTGTCAATATATAAATGTGTCATTAAAAACCCGCCACCACCCGACAAAGCCAACTAAGTAAGGGTTGTCACGTAAACAGAACATGTCAATTCGTCACGTGTGTTGGAGAGCCAAGCCACAACATTTACAAACTGAGTACGACGTTTCGCCAGTAATTACAACTAGCTTCATCAGGCGACAGCCAGATTTGTGTCTTACTGTTTCGTTCTTTATGTAGAGGCGTAGATGTGTTTACCACCCTTCTGCGATCTTACACAATGATGGGGGGAGGGGGGCGGGATTACTGAGTCAACGTACATTATGAATGTGCATTATGTAGGCCCTTTGAACTTGTCCTTCCGGTCTATTGTGTTTATTAAAATAGCCCTACCAACGGTAATCCCTATTATAGTACGCTGCCCTTTGTCGGCATGCATTTAAAGAATGCATTATTTGATGATTCGCTTCCATGCAGCACTAAGACGGTAGCTATCCGAACGGTTAAAGCTATTTTGATTTTTTTCAATTTCGATAGATTCTCTAATTAGTCTTGGCCAGTAGTAGCTATTTTTGCACAAAACTTCAACATTATCAAAATAAATTGAGTGTCCTTGTTGGCACACGTGTTTTGCTTCTGCTGACAGTTGCATTTTGGAGAATTTAATAAACGTCGTACTCAGTTTGTAAATGTTGTGGCTTGGCTTTCCAACACACCGGTGTGCTGTACGAGTGACGAATTATGTTCTGTTTACGTGACAACCCTTACCAGTTGGCTGTGTCGGGTGGTGGCGGGTTTTAACGACACATTTATATATTTACACGATCTAACCCAAAAAACTCTATTATGGATGATATTGGTCGCGAAAGCCTACGTGTTAAACTCACAAAAGGCATGAGTGCTGATGAAGTTGTTTTCATTGGATGGATGTTAATGACAGATGTAACAATTGAAATGCTGAAATGTGGTGATGGGGGATCGGACTCGTGCAATATGTGTAAGAATGAAACGTGTGAAGTGAAGTATTTTTTTTATAAATCCGATTGCCAGTGATGTATAAATCTCCATCTATCAAACAATGGGGTGAAAACGTATAAATCAGGTTAAGTGCTTTTCGTCGTGTATCTTTTAATATTAATCAATTTAATCCACATGTCATCAACGCTTAGTCAACACAACTGTTATGCAATGCACCAAAAAAGCTTCCTGCACACTAAGCCTTACTGCCCCTTCATTATCTACACATCCTATCACAAAAATGCCAACATGACGAACAACAACATCGTCTTCTAACCAAGTAATGTTTACCCACCTCTGGGCCTGTGGCCACTTCAGCAGCAGCACCCGTCATCACTCCAAGCGTCTGGAAGGCGAAGACGCAGAGTTCCCGGGCGCAAACAGCCGGCTGTAGGGAGCGGAGCAATTAACTACTATTATTCTGTGAGAGTGGTAAAAAAGGGACCCCAGCTCCAAACCATCTTTAGCCAGATTCGGCCTTCTCCCCAATTTTATCCTGACTGTGCTCTCGGTGGCATGTCATTAGACAAGGAAACAATGCAGATCTCTCAGAGCATTGCAATCCTTAATGTTAGAAAAAGGCTCTCAGAAGTGAATAGCATAGAATTACTCCTGATATCCATCTAAACTGACCTCTATTCTATACAGCAGAGGACAGCATTTCCCAGATGCCCCACGACAAAGGGCAGTGTTCGCCACCTGGCAGCCAAATTAATATATTCAATTTCTAAGATGTGGAATTCAGTTAAATGAAGTGTAATAACAATATATGATGTCATCTTTTTTGTGTGTGCAGTTATTAGTCACTGGACTGACACCATTAACTTCACAACACTTGAGAAACCATGTTAATCACAGATGGCTGCATGCATGCAAGCCAAAGATTTTGGCAGCGCCAGCTCAGCGTTCTGACATCCAATCCATGCCTAACACCTTATTGCATCTGTACACTGCATTTAAAACGTTAACATAGTCCGTTACCTTGAGCATGGGGCCATTCTGAAACACGTGTGGCTCGTCGCACACTACGCAGAACTCGTTAAGGGTTGGTATTCTTTGTTCGCCATACAGCATGGTCTACAACCACATACAAAATGACACGAGTGTTGTGATTAAACTTACATCAAAGGGCAGGTCATCATGTAAAATGATGCACATTCTGACAGCGAGTATACTCTATGTGCTATATTTACCTGAACAAGAAAGCCGTGTTCTAATATTGGAAGAGTTTTTGTTGCATTTCCCTGCTGAAAACAAAAACAAATTATTCGACAGTACAATGATTCAGTTTTTTTAGGACATGTAAAATGATGCTTATATAAAACAAAGACTACATTAGAACTTCAACAATCTTGGAAAAATAAAATGCTGTAAGGCTATTCATATCATCTGTGAGTGTGCGCACTTTAACGACTTAAAAGGTTTAGCTTTATTTGGCAAAGGTAAATCCCCATTGAATAAAATGCTCATTTCCGATGGGTGTCTGGTTACAGAAACATGGTTACAGCAAAACAGTCGTGAACCAGAGAGCTGAAATGCACAAAACAATAATACACTGCACGTGTTTTCAGAATCCACGGCAGTGCAGCAATATTGAAGCAATGTAGGATACACGCAAACATCGCAAAAGGTCCGGCCGGATATTTTCACACGGTGCACATTTCCAATGAGTAATTTTATGCAGTCACGAAAGCTTTAATACTTTATTTCCAGCTCTATTAAACGTGGCACCTGGGAGGATCCGTTCTGTTCCAGATTCCGTTTGCCACGGCCTCCTCCATCCTGGTGGAAGAGGAAGCTTGGGGACCTGGGTATGCACAGTGGACAGCCACATTAGACGTTCATCGACCTTCACAACTATAAACTTCGCATGCACTGACAAGACACCCTGCGCGCATAGCAAGGAAGTTTAACCTTTTTTCATTGCGTCCAACTAAGCCTCGAGAGCTAATTAAATGAGGGAGCTCGGAATGATGTACACCTTTTTGAATACACTACAGATGTTCTCACAACAAATCTCCTGTTTTGTTCACTAGAACCTATGAACATTCCAAGTATTCATAAGAAATGCATTACATCCTACGAAACATTGTTTTTCTGACACGCTCCATTTACCAATTAAAGAATCTCACCACTGGAACACTAACAGCAATGGCACTGGTTTAAATAATGGACAACATATAACGCTGGCGTGTAAAAGGGACGTGCGCAATGATGCTGGACCAACTCTAAGGCACACCTGTGCAGGTGGGAGAGCAGACTGAGCGGCGAGCGGAGCTTTTTGGCATTCCTGCTGGACTTGAGCAAGTTGAGTCGCTTGCTGTGCTGGCTCTGCAAGCAATCATTGCTCAGGTGCTTCCACTGCTGTGACACAAAGGCCTTGAGGACTCTGCGGGCACAGCACATGGGTCGCTTACGTCATCAGACAAGGGCAACCAAATGTATTTGCGCTCAAGTTAGAGGTCCCCCTGACCTAGCCGTGATAATCGCTTTGCGGTAGAAACCTCTGAAGGAGGAGGAAATGAATGTTTGCAGACAAAAATTAGGTGAGTTGCGCGAATAAAACAATGATTTGTAAATATTTAATTTTGTGCTATGACGCACTGAAAGCTCAATGCTCCCAAACGAGCTGAGATGTATACATTTCCATTCCGTTAAAAAAACCGTTTTAATGACCGCTTAAATTAGGAAAAGCACCTTGGTTTCAATTTATAAAGAATGGAGATTTGCAAAATTGGCATATTACACTATTAAACTAAACAATAAAACTTTTTATTTTACCAGGTAAGGAACACTGAGCTATATAGGTCTTTTTTAGAAGCGACCTGGGCACAAATGATAGCTCAACGAAATGGCTTATCATGTGGAAATTAAAGCAGCCAAATACGCTAACACATTTTTCTAAATGTGGAGGGGAAAACCAGAGGAACCAAATAAAAATCCACATGGCCAAAGTGAGAACGTGCATACTCCAAATATGCAGGCGACAGGGTCGAACCCACGCATCCTGTATACCATGCGAGGTAGTTAATATCTCACCACTGTAGCACACCCCATATGGACAGGAGATGAGCCCAATGAACACTTTTATTTTGCTAGCATTGTGCTCCTAAACCTACCGACCATTACCTTAATTTAAAACGTGCACGCAAACATAATGCAGGGTGACTGACTTCCTTTTCGCAAGTTAAAAATAGCGTTCCTGCTACAAAACTTAATTCTAGAAAAGGAGCTTAACCACGAAAAATAATCTCCTTCCATCCAGCATGGCCAGGCAACCTTGCAGCACAATGAATCACCCAATAAAGCGGCAAAATAAGAGCGAGATTTGATATTAAAAACTTACATCACTGCAGTCACAAACACAGCACTGCCAACTGATTAATGATATGTCATGAACTACAAAGGTGTCTTGACAGATTGACGTAGCTCACCATGCAAATACATGTTGCATGTGGAAGGGTAAACCAAGTGTATGGGATTAAGCTGTGTTAACTATGAAACCGTGCCACAGCGACACAATGCCTACACTCGCTGTATGCCAACAAGCATGGCTGCAGTCAAGATAATAACTCTACAAGAGCCTCTAATGGCTGGAATTAAATAACGGCCGAAATATTGTACACTTGAATGCTTGGAACATGCACTCGAAGATACCATTCAGACATTCATGGTAGGATGGCCTGACATATTCAGTGTCTCCATGTAGATCTAATGACTTTGGATACATGAAATAAATACATTCTATTTTATAATATAGAATCGTGTACATATGAACCATCATAACACGACTGCATTGGCTGCTGGAATACAAAAGAAAATTAAGATTTTGAACAAAATAATTCAATCTGCCATAATATACGCATATATTCTAAATACTATTATTAGGTAAAGTTTGGGTATGCCAACCTCTTTAAATACATTTGGCCAACGTGAAAGAGTAGGCCAAACACCCTCAGGAGGGGCTCTTGGGAGCTACCCCTGTAGAGGCAGCTATTTTGTCATCAACAGTAGTATGAGCAAGAAATTGCAGTCCTGCACCTTTACTTATTTGTAAGGCATGCACAAAAGGGCTCAATTATTGTATAACCTTAATTTCCAAAATGAAATCCAGGCCTGAATAACAGGGCCATTAGTGGGTTAGTGAGTTTCTTTATTAGAGTTGTATTTCTCTTTTCTGTCCTCTGATAATGTATGCATGTCACTTGTGAAACAAAACTTTAATTATTTTAATCTTAATTTGAAGCTTTCGTGACTGCAGGAATCCATACTCTTTGGTTCTTTCGGTAAAGTCACGTTAGTAGAAAATAATAGATAACGACGTTTCGATCGCAACACAAGCAATCGTCATCAGGTGGGACAACCACAGCAAGAAAAAACTGCTGAGGGAGAGAGTGTAGAGGGTGTACTTTGCGATTTAGAAAAACCCCAAATAACCAAACTTCATTCATCATTGTGAACAGCAAAACTCATAAGTATAAATATTTGCATGCTATGTAGTTGAGGCTTTATGTAAATTATAAAAGACAGTCACTTGAACGAATGCATTTATGTAAGCTAAACATAGAATTTAGCTGCTGGACTTATTGCATTATTTTAGCAAATGTGATTTGAGATTTGCGTCAACTTGTTTTGGACCAAAGTCCTTCGTGAAAAATATATTTTATTTTAATGTTTTTTTTTAATATAAAATACTTTGACTGCATTCTATTCATTCGACTTTGTGGGGTATGTCTTGTTTACCGTTTCCATAGTCGTCATTTGAATCAATAAGTTCAATGTTTGTCTCTAAACCTAGGTAACCTTTAGAGAATTATAAGAATGCAGAGGCTGTTAACTATAACAAAAGATATCTTACTTTTTGAGCTGAAGGCCAATTCCAAAACTGTCTTTGTTTGAAGGCTGAAATACATCAACGCTTGGCTCTAAAGGGGACAAAAAATGTTTAATACACAATATCGAATACGGTAGATTTATTCTCACAAGAAATGTTCATCTTGATTACCAAAGTAAAAGCGATAATTAAAATACAGGGTTTAATTATCGTCGAGAATATGAAAATGTATATATTCTGGCTATATTTTCCAACTCTTTAATGTGAGCAACATACAACCTTTGGAATTAAAATATAAAGTTTTGCACATGCCGCACAGGCATTCTAAAACATATCTGATGGAACATACAGCTTTATACTCCTTACATGATTACAACGGTGAAAATTAAACAAAAAATATTGTCATGGCCATTGGGCTGACAAGATGAATACTTCATTGCAGGTTCGTGAACACAAATGGTGTGCATAATAAAGGTTTTTGGGTTAGATCGCATAAGTATAAATGTGCCGTAACCCTCCACCAACCAACACTGCCAGTAGTAAGTACAATAGGCTCTGCCACACATAAATTAGTAAAATATGGAACAAAACAAATACAGCCCTACATTGGTAAGAAATCTTAATTCATAAGAAATACAGAAAATCTTGTAATGTGTAATTAAATATATTAAACTTAACCCTAATGATATTCTGGAAAGCTTTGATGTAATTTCTCTATTTACGAAGGTTCCGGTTAACGAGTCAATTAAATTACTCAATACGCGAGTAAATAAGACAGGTTTAATAAAATATATTCCAAAACCAGCTGACCATTGTCTAAATAACACTTATTTCTTATTGAGAGGTGATTTCTTTCAACAAAAGGAAGGAGCAGCAATGCGCTCTTTGTCTCCTGCTACTGCGAATCTGTAAATGGAACACTTTGAAGAGCGCTTGCTTCAAGTGTACTAAAACAATATTTTTGGTTTAAATACGTAGATTACACTTTGGTTGTCTGGCCACATGGTAAAGATACACTTAATGAATTGATAAAGCATCTCAATTTGCAAAACCTGGCCATCCAGTTCACCATGAAGTTGAGGTGAATAACACACTCCCATTCCTGGATAGTTTGCTTGGACGTGGCCTAAATGGTAAAATAATACACAGCGTTTACCGAAAGGAAACGCACACTGATGCCTATCTGAATGCAGATTCGCATCATCACCCCGCACAGAATTCCTCTCTCATCAAGGTGTTCATACATCAGGCTAAAACAGTGTCAGATGGTGAAAGTCTGAGGAGCGAGATTAAACATGTTACAGAATCTCTACGATTAAATGGCTACAATAATGCTCAATTTAACAGAGCATTGAATGCCAAACCAAGATCGAACAGCAATACTGCTGAAAGTTATCATGTTTTGATTTAAAGCTTGCGTGACTGCAGTAATTCATATTCTTAGTTCTTTCGGTAAAGTCACGTTGAAGGGAAACAACAAAATCATAAAATATATATAAAACAATAAAAATTCTCACGACGTTTCGACCATAACACAAACGGTCGTCTTCAGGTGTGTTGGTTTGCCAACAAGGACCGTTTGTGTTATGGTCGAAACGTCGTGAGAATTTTTATTGTTTTATATATATTTTATGATTTTGTTGTTTCCCTTCAACGTGACTTTACCGAAAGAACTAAGAATATTGTTATCATGTTATTAAAACAAATAAAATACCATATATTGCGGGAGTAACTGACAAACTAGCTAGAGTTTGGGAAAAACAAAAAAATCAGAGTGAGATTTGGCACGGTACACAAAGTTCGAAAACTAGTATCTTGTACTAAAGATGAATTGCCTAAGTTATCAACAGGTGTGTATTGGATTAATTGTTTATGTGGCAGACGCGATATTTGACATACGGGACGTAACATTAGCGTAAGACTAAAAGAACACCAAAGAAATACTAAATACTCTCAAACACTGCTGTCGGCAGTTGTCGAACATGCTTGCCAACAAGGACACACAAGTGATTTTTATAACGTTGAAGTGTTGTGAAAAAATAAATATTACTGGCCGGGACTAATTCGATAATCTATTGAAATTTAGAAAGATACAAATAATTTTAACTGCTCTTACAGTTATGGCCTGGAAGCGTATTATTAAGTAATTATCTTACAACTGCATTCCTTAATGAGGAAATACATGCAAATTAACTGAATAATAATTAATATATTATATAATTACAATACACCCCCCTCCTCCGTCTCTGATCTCTGCACCTGATCTCTGCACCTGATGGGTTCACAGTGATGACGTCATATTGCTCTATTTAAGACCGGAAGCAGGTGGATTGCTTCACTATTGTGGCAAATCGCCCGATGATGCTGGATGTAATGACCAGCGAAACGTAGTACTCAAATTGTAAATGTTGTGGATTTACTCTCCAACACACCCGTGGGCTGAAGTAGTAACTAATTGTTTACGTGACAAACCTTCCTGGCTGTGTCGGGTGGTGGAGGGTAACGACACATTTATTACTTATGCGATCTAACCCAAAAACAATTATTATGAATAATATTAGTCGCAAAAGCCTACATGTTAAACTGACAAATGGTGTGATTAATGTGCGAGTAGGGGACGATAAAAAGCTGGTGGATCACTCCATCTTGCCAAGGTTAATGAGGATAAAGTACAGAGTACTACGTCTTGCTTATATGGCAATCTACCAAATGTGTGAATTGTACCAAAAACACTTAGTTTTCGAGTGCAAGCATACCTGGGCCATCCAAATACTGAGACAGCGAAAAGTGGAGGCGTAGAACAACCGCCTCAGTTCGCATCACCTTCCAAGCCGTCGCAATCTCCTCCTGTGTGGAATACCGTACCTAAGTCAAGTGTGCCACTGTATTTGGAAGCTGCACCAAGGCGATCGCAAACGCTGTTCATTACAAAGACCAACAACCAACAAAGGGCCAACGTTTGACCGAATATTCAACACACTCATTTGGGAAAACGTGGCGAAATTGTCACCTCCTACTGTTAAAACTTGGCAGGACCCTCCTTAAATCAATTTTGAGACTCTGTGAGGCTTTCCTCGGTTAAAACGAAGGTTAAAGCAAGAAAAAAATGATGGACGCTTGTGTTGCGCCTGAAACGTCGTGATTTATTTTATTTTATACCTACGTGACTTTACCGAAAGAACCAAAGAGTAAGAATAAACCACTTACATCCAAGAATCCCACATTGATATGAAGATCAACAGCCACATCATCAATGGCTCCATACTCCCTATAACAAAGGATGTGAAGACACATATTACAAGATATTATTGGAAGTTGAACATTTATTGCAAGTTGAACATAGATATTAAGATATTTGAATACACGAGTCAAATAATTCTCAGCCAGCCTGTTACTTTTGAAAATACAAATTTGTAATTGTAATTCCAGATGTAAAGTACACTATGCAATAATATTTTTTTGCATATCACTGCCTAAAATTCAAAGAGGAATAATTATTCTAGGCGTTCAATTTCCAAATATTTTTTTAAAGAAAAAAACCCCACATTTCCCACCTGATCTGGACAGCACCATCCCCATATTTCTCTCTCACACTTTCGATGTCGGCATCCAGCTGTGGATGGCGATGTGTCTCTCCATCTGCATTCACCTACAAAATTAAAGCAACACATTTAGCACAATTATGTAACTGAAAACAATGCAATCGCAACACAACATTATACACATTATAGGGAACATTACATTTCAAATCACTACTTTTTTACATGCCTTTAAAGGTAAAGCTATATATAGGTACACTGGCAGAACATAATGTTCTATAACAATTATGTGGCTGTACAAATCCACAGGCTTTTATCTATTCCAACATAACCATATGATTCACATTAAAAAGACAGCTTGCTCCATTTAAAAATACGAGTTTAGTATTCAAGGTTAAAAGTGAACCATGTAAGCTTCTTTTGTGAGGATGGAAAATAATGTATTGCAAAACGTACAAAAGCTTATTAAATTTTATGCAACGGGACCGTATTTTTTTGTAAGGTTTGTGACGTATGATTCAAAGTATATCTGAATCGTGGCATCTCCATGGTTATTTTTCCATTAAAATATAAATAACGTTACACAAGACGCTGGATAACGCTCGGTAACAAGTCAACCGAACAAAGAGATTTCCAAAACAGGATTTTGCTTGAATTATTTTTAGATGTCCATTTAACCTAATTCACAATTGATTTTTGGGTTAATCCACAATTATCTGACCAAACATTTAGCGATACTTGCAATATTTGGTTGTGAAAATTGCTCTTCAACTTACCGGTTAGCTGATATAATTGGCACGTTAAAACGCTTGTACATGTGACAATGTTATTTGTTTGGCTGTGCCAGGTGTAGAAGGGTTCACAACACATATTTGGTGAAATAATTATTTGGCCTGATGAAAAAGAAAAACTACATGTTAAGATAAGTATGGCCTGTTCTGTTGCATCTAAATGTTTTCCTCCCTGCTTGGCTATAGGACCACTGTGCAAGTGATGACTTTTTTAAGCAACCTATTTTCAAATTTACCTTGACGGGCATAAACACACTACACATAATTGGGTATAAGGAATTATTTCTTTCAAATATTAACTGTAATCTGGAATAACCTGGGTGCATGTAAATTAAGATGTTCATGAGCATATATTTTCCTGTGTGGATTATAAAAGATAAAAAGTCTAGAATTGCCATGATGCAAACATATTTCAGTTTTCATTCAGGTTATGAGCACCTGCACCCCGCAGAAAAACTCATCTGACTCAGTCTCTCCATCAGACTCCTCTCCAGTCCACTTTGGGGCACTCAAGTCCTTTACAAAAGAAACAACAAAAATACAATAAAGATTTGGCACACAACACAGCTTTCCAGGCTTAAAACAATCACATTTTAATAGTTTTCTGTTCAAATTGACAGCATCCAAAAACGCATTTGTCTTTGCAGGTGTAGTCGTATACTAATTCACAAAAGCCCATTCTGTCGATCGTTCAGGCTGGCCCTGTGTATAAAACATGCCTTCTGGCAAGCAGCTGCTGGCTTCTGTAAGTGGTTGCGATGGCCCATCATCGCCACTCATGCAGTTCATGCGGTCATCCATAATGAAACATTATGGATGTCCATTCTATAAACTTTGAAGGGTGCAGAATGACAATGGTTGTTTTCCTCGAATTTGTTTTCATCCCTGAGCCACGTGATTGACACATATTTTGCAATTGAATATTTCATCTTTTTTTTTATTTCGAACACCTCCCTTTGTGCCATGAACCTACACTACCTATGACTGTCTAGTGCATATAAATACCCCATACACCATACTGACAAAATATTTTTAGCTCGTTTTTCCCGAATTGTGCACTTGGCATTAAAACACCCCATGTGTCAGAAAACAGCCTTCACAGTACTTGTCTCATACGATTTTTTACGCAGTCATTGGTAACCAGACTGAGACGACTAACAACAGTAGTTGAGAACTCTGTTTAACCACAGGCAGCTTCCCGGATTCCAGCCCACGTCCTCAGGAGCACTGAGCCACCTCGCAACTGCTCATATAAAACAAGGCAAAGTGGTCCGACAACTCACACCTCTACCATCGCATGTGAGCATGCCCTGACAAGTAAATGTCAAGTAAGGCAATGATATTGTGAGAATTTAGATTATGAAAGTGGAACTCCAGAATTCAAGGCCTTTTAAGCAATAACATTTGCACAAGGGCAATACGTTTTAAAAACATGGCAAATAAAATACAAAAATGCACAAAAAGCAAATGTCGTTATGTTAAAGATGTTTCATGTGTCAACGATCGAGTGAAAATAATGATTGCCAATTATGTTATGGCACACGTGGCACTGTAATTGAAAAACAATTCTACTTTCTTCACCAAATGTCACCCCATTGAAATAGCAAAGCTCTGAGATGTCATACAAAGAAACACTGATAAATGTAGTTCATACTATTTCGTTGTTTACACTTTTGTTAACAATGAAACATATGGTGATCTTTGCCAAGACAACAACAATGCCCTGCATAAATTACTGAGAACAGCAGACCCTTTTGAGTCACGTACACATCTTACAATAAAATTGCGCCTATGGTTTATGACAAGAGAAGTAAAACCAAAATGTCACCGTTTTTCTTTATTTTTTTCTCACAATGCCTATCGTTTTGAGCGCTATTAATAATACAACCGGCGTGACATGTACAACAACATATGCGGCCCCTTTTGTCAAAATTCACGGCCGATATTGGGAATCCTTTAACCACCCCCCACGCCATTGCGGGTCTATGGGGTCCACTGGGTCCCAATTGCAGCCACGCCGATCACTGTAAGGCACGAGGGTTGGTCCAAGCGCATTGTCTACCAATTGTCATTACACGACAGGACACCACATTTGTTAGTGTTAGTGAGGACGAATGAATGGCATTTGAACGCGTCCAACGTTTTGATTCCGGACAACAACAAAAAAAACTACATCATCTACGGTGTACCGAATTAATGAACAAATGTCAATTTCTTACGACGTCGTTTCGCTGTTTAACGGGGCGCCTGTGCTGCGAAACCTTTAAAAGTCACGTAGAAGGGAAACAATGAAATAATAAAAATATAAAAACCACAGCAACATTTTCTTGCTGTGGTTTTCCACACCTGATGATGATTGCTTGTGTTGTAGTCGAAACGTCGTGAGAATTGTATTGTTTTATATTTTTATTATTTTATTGTTTCCCTTCTACGTGGTGACTTTACCCGAAAGAACCAAGAATATGAATCCCTACAAGTCACGAAAGCTTTAAATAAAAAAAAATTTAGCTGGGTATCGTTACGCACAATTTTGTGCGTCACAAATGTAGTGTTTGACGTAATGTATGAAGGTTGGGCGAAACCGAAACCTGGTGATTCATCGCGCAAACACAACATTTGTAAGAACAATTATTAACGCCAAATCGTTTACGAGTCTTAATGAGGTAAATAACGGGGTCGATCGTAATAACGACGCGAGCGCTTTCCCACTTAAACCCCAACTACCTTTACCACCCAACCGCCACAGCACGACAATTGGCTATGGCTAAGTAAATGTTATTTGTGTAACGCTTAGATTACTGGCAAAAACGTAAAACACCGTAAAAGCATAACCAGTAACAACTACAGTAGCTAATTGTGCACCAATGTAATGCACGCAGACGCGGGGCCTGTGATTTTTCAGCAATTGCAAACACACACACACAACGCCATAACTCGAGCGACAAGCATCTGTCTTAACCTTGCACTGATTTAAATCACAACGCAATTCGAGTAAAACATAAATTCCACTGTAAAAAAAATCTAGATATTTCATTTAAAAATAAATAGAAAGTCCACTGGGCCCCAGTTCAGACACCGGTCTTGCCTGGTCCATGTGCCCGGAAACGAGCGCCTCCTCAGCACATCCTCCAGCTCCTCGGCTCGGACCTCGAAGGCGGCGGCGGCGGCAGCGATGATGATGAAGAAGATAAAACAGCCGAAGAGCGTCGAATATGTGGCGACAGTCACGATATTGTCGTCGTTTAACGAGAAGACAACGCGACTCGCCGGCCTCGCGGAGACTACGGTCCACCCTGGGGTCCTGCTCTGCGGGGGATCATCAGCTTGGGCTGATCTCGCGGATAATTTCCCCTAAATACTGTAGGGGAAATATCTCACGAAAAAAATATAATAAAATGCAGCGATTTATAGCCGCGGCGCGCCACAGCGAATGCCACTGTGTGACTCTCAGCGCGTCGCTGATTTTTTCTCGCTCGGTCGGAAATAAACAGCAGACTAACGGGGGGGTGGTGAAATTAACGCAGACTGGCACCAGTGACGTGACTGACAGATCACAAAAAGCACAGATTTATAAATGTGTGTGTCTTGTCTGCCTTGGCCGTGTCTCTGTGTCTCTCTCATCTGCTGCCTCGCTGCTTCCTGCCCCCTCGCAGCTGTTAAGCCGAGAGTCTCCACCCCATTCTCCGCTGGCCGGCCGCCTCCTGCCACACAGCAGCCTACTGCACGGTCTCAACAATTGTTGTCAGAACCCGTGGCTTTACCTCCAGATTTGAATGAATTATAATATGTACTGTACTGTACGGTATTCATTGGAGTACAATGCAACGTTATGGTTTAATGGAAATGTAGAGATTGTCTTGCTGTTGTACACAGACGGAAAATAATGTCGTGGTTATAGCCGGTGTATTGTTTGGTTATTGCTACTGGTTTGGGAAAATCACCCCAGCTTAAACATGTTCACATATATTGCACGATCACTATGATTAAAACGGTGCAATAGAATGTTATACCTGTACGGTTATTTTCTGCCATAAATGATGTGTATTTGAAGTAGAAAAAAATATTTACTTGCATTCTGTTGTGTACAGAAAATGCTAAAAGGTAAGAGTCAAACTGAAAACTAAATCCAGAGGGATTGCACCCGCTTCTGGCAACAAGAAACATTTCCAACAGAAGGCAGTGACATTGTAATGATTTGGACGGTTGTGGGTTCCCTCCAAACGAAAACAAAGCAAAGATAAGGGGGGTGGATGGAGGGGGGTGGATGGAGGAGGGGGGAAAAATGAACAAAAACACTAAGGAAAGGTCTCCCTGGGGAAAACGGATGGAGATGGGACACATGGTCAAACACATGCCACCCAGGGGCACACATATGGACATATGGGGCAACATTTTCTTTTTAGCAAATTCGCATTTTTCAATTTTATCAGAAGAGTATAAACACTGAACAAATGTATTTTAGTTAAATGTAACGTACCGATTTTGTTAACATTAACGTGCTCTATTTGAAAGTTATTTTATTCAGATTCTTTTGATGGAGTTTTTGTCTAATGGTATTTTATCCATAACACAGGTTTTTTGGGGGGTTAGTTAATGCTTGATCATTAATTCTGTCGCTGGGAAGAAAGAAAAATAACGTTTAAGATCGCCAGTCCTTGTCAGAAAAGAAATATAAATTTCAGCAATGACCGTGACATTGAAAAAAGGACATCCAGCACATATGCTGAGTATTTCATTCTCTATTGACAAATGCTCTTTGCTCTCATGCCATCACGTCGTTTCTCCTTCAGCATTTAAGAACGTTTTCCTTCTCAGCAATAAAAAAATGCTATGTTTTTGCGTCTTCCCCTTATTTGTTCAGCATCTTGAGATGATTTTTTAATCCACATTGTATTGTGAGTTCATATATACATTATGTTGTGGGTAAAAATGTGTAATTTAATATTGTGCGTACACCACATAAAGTATAATAAAGTACGTACGCGACTTTATTACTGTACTGTGTTTTTTGACGTTTATAAACTATCCTCACAAATAGGTTTTTACCCTTTTATCTGGCACAAAAACTGACACCTTTGTGCCAGATAAAAGGGTAAAAACCTATTACTATATCTTGTTACTGGCAAAGGAGGTATCATAATATCCTCACCAAATTCACAAATGTGAATGTAACATTGTAAACGAAACAAAAAAAACCCATAATATTGTCATGAAAACATTCACAGCAGAGAACCTGCGAGTAACTCTCTCCCATGACAATTCAGGCCAGGGATGCACATGAGGGTACTAGAAGATGGAGTTGAATTACCTGCCAGGCTACTCCACTATTATAGCAACTCATACAGCCACGTGGTGGCGGTGGTGTCAGCTTTCCTTGGGAGCACGCATGTCACTGACCTAAGAATTGGCAAAGGCGTCTGTTGTCAGACTTAATATCGTAATACAGAGTGGAGATTTGTAATCGAGTATTGCCCAATTTACATTTTTATTACCTCGATGGTGTGATACAATGGTCCTTAAAATATATGTAAAAGAAAATACATATAAAGGTATGTGAAACTTAACCTGAATGTTTATGGCGACGGTATACATTGATTTAATGTAATCGCAGTTCTCAGTCAAACGTGAATTAAGATCTTAGGGCATAACAATGCAAACACTGCAGCGGCTGTGGTCAAGGTTAACGTCAGTGGAAAGTGATATCTGAACCGGTCCTGGGCTCCCCGCATTTTCACCAAACCATACTGAACAGCATGGCAAAGAGTGTTCAAGCCACCACGATTGACATGGCGAGCGGGAGGCCTGCATCCAGTAGTGGATTGATAAAGGGCTATGAATTACTGCATGGGTTCAAGGTGTTAACTTAGAACAGGGCTTTTTTCTTTCATTCAACACAGTGAATGGCACGCTTAATGCAATATGGTCAGAGTAAGGGCCCAACAAGGCAGACAGCATCCTGCACTATGAAAGATTCACGTGGCCATCTGTCAGTCCTACAACACTCATTATTCTACCACTGTGCCAAGAGCTCGGCACACTTGCTGTAAAACAAAAACACAATGCCTACTTTACACAGCCGTATACGTCCCATACACTCGCAGAGAGCGAGGCGCTAACTACAGCACAATACATCATCCTTGTTGTCAGATGGTGAGTTCCCAGTGCTGGACAAATGCCTCCATTCCTTCCTGTAGTTGTTCTTGTCCTCCTAATTGTGAATTATCTCGCTATCTCTCACGCTGCCTTGCTCTGCTTTGCTGTGACCCATTGCGACTGGATTATTTTTTTATGATGGGTTTCGCTCGTCGTTTACACATTTGATTACCCTAGTACTGCAGTAAATAATCATAGTTTTAATGTTAAGTTGCAAGAGACGTGAGAGTTGAGACCAGCGCAACCGCGCTAACCGTGTGCAGAAGAATTGTAACATCGAGGAATGACGATAAGGGGATTCCTTCATCCAGCAGTAGATAGCTCATAGCTGATGATGGTATATTTAGGAGAATAATTACTTGAGCGAAAACGTACAGTTACATTTGGTGGAGTATTTTATTTCAAACGTCTTAAATTGTAGCGTGCAATTTTATAGCTAAAATCAAGGCACAAAAAGGCAAGGGCAACACTGTGCACATGTAGCAACAGCCGTACACAGTGACATAAAATTAAGATACACAAAGCACGTGAAACAAACGCGATTACAGGACTGGCATACGAGAACAGTGTAGTAATACAATTGCATTGGCTTCTAGAAGATGCTTCCTGTTGTGGTAGACGGGTGAAAAGCCAATACGGTCTGTTCCAACACACAGAGAGGGGGGGGGTGTTCACCTGACGTCATAATCATTATATCACTCATTTAAACACTTTGCCACGAGCAAGTTAATTATTCTTGATATTTTTTATTGCTAACACGTTAATTATATAAATTTGCACGTTTTAGTTCCTTGTACAGTTGTTAAAATATATCGATGGATTACACCAACACACCTGTATCGCCCTCGGTAGGCGATGGTTTTGCCCAGGGCCTCAACGCGAATTAAAATGGTGTCCGCGTGAGGCGCTCGGCTTGCCGTGCAATTCCTTCAGTGGCGCATTTACGTCCATCTCATTTCTCTCTTAAAACAAACATTCCGAACGCAGTTGCTTCGAAAAGTTTAACAAATTTGTTTCGCAAACGTTGCATTGATCCAGAGGGTGCGGAAGGCGGGGGGGGGGAGTAGGAGCAAGCTAAATGTTGCACGGCGCTGGGTCGAGAGCGGCCTAGGCTAGAGGCCACAGCCTCGGGTTTGTTCTGCTCTGCTCGGCCGCGTATAGTGGGGGGGGCGATGGCGGCGGCGCCCGGCTTTGCCGAGAGCCTGGAGCGCAAACTGACCGGCCTCAGCAACACCATGGAGAGCATTCAGGGGCTCTCGCACTGGATCATAGACCACAAGAGCAGGAGCGCAAAGATCGTCGAGCGGTGGCTCAAATCCCTCAAGAAGTGTGAGTTTGGCGAGCGGGGAGAGGGCGTCCCCGTGGGGGCCTCCCCTGTCGCCTCCGCACGTGTGTCACTTTTGGCAGACTGCTTGCTGTTTGTTATTGATGTTAACCGCTGTATATTGTTGTGGAGCTTAAGCTGTTAAGGTTTTTTTGTTGTTGCGAACGCGCGTTTAACGTTATTGTTTGGTCCCGTTTTGAAATGGCTTTTGAGATTATTTTTTTAATCCGCGCCTTCTCAATTATGCACAAGTTTTACAGTCAATAAATACACTATACATAAACATCGCCCATTCGGACAAGACTCGTTTGCAAACGATTTGTACAAAGCACTTAGAGTCGAATTGTGTCGTTTGAAATTGAACGCAAATGCTGGTCAATTAGAATATATTATACAGTATCTTGTTTTTAAAACGTGAGTTCTAGAAAATGTACTTGGTATTTTATGCAACCGGACGTTATTTTTGTAACTCATTTAAATGTATTTCGTGAAGTAAATTACGTCAGTGGCTCAACATGCCTATCTGTCCATGCTTTTTTTTTCTCGTTGATACCTGTTTTGTGTACTGCCAAGTGAAGTATTGGGCTGTTGATGATTATGATTAACGTTAATCAAAATATCTATACGGCTTAAGATTTCTAATTCGGTGGATGTTTTCATGCATGTGTTGCATTATCAGTTAGGTTATGTTGCGACGTGACCAAACATGTTGCGAAGCTACTAGTTTGTGAAACTAAAATTTGCACAATGCCTCTATCTCTCAATCTGTGATTTGGCATTCACATGATGCGATGCCGATAGTTAATTATATACTGGACATCGAAGCCTTGTTGGGTAGAGTGTTTTTGTACCATACATTTATTGGCAGTTAATTCCAAGAAGCCAAACGCATGGGTTTATTAACACAAATGCATAACAGTCAGTGGATAAAGTACCGTACGATGTAACCAAGTAGACTAGCGACGTGATATATATATACAGTTGATATTTTGGCGTTTTGTAGTTTATATGGGTTGGAGCGGTGGCCGGTGGTTGGTCTATGGATTGAGCAAAGGACGCCTTCGTCCTGAAATGGATTGACCAAGGGGCTGTAGTTAACATTTATTCGCAAGCGTAAACAAAGTGTAATACATTGCAGTCCTGCATATGGTACTGCATTAACGGATTGTTTATTATTGAATTAGTAACCTACTCAATTGTGCGAAATGCTATACTGAACATACATTCAACGTCAACGTGTTTATTTTATCAGAAACGTTTATGGGGATCGTTTTTTAAAATCAAATATTTCGGTATGGGTGTGGAAATGTATTGGCCTAGGGCGACACGTGGTGCCACCTGTAATTAATTAATTTATTGTTTTTGGTTCTTTCGGTAAAGTCACGTAGAAGGGAAACAATAAAATAATACAAATATAAAAAATTAAATATTTGAGTCCTCTCTTTTATTGTTTTATATTTGTATTATTTTATTGTTTCCCTTCTACGTGACTTTACCGAAAGAACCAAGAATATGAATCCCTGCAGTCACGAAAGCTTTAAATCAAAATTTTATTTATTATCATATTAATCTATATAAGGGAAATTTGTGAATGTGTGTCTGTTCGAAATGTTTAGCATACTTCCCGACATGCAATTTGAAATTTGGCATGTGGGTAGCTTCCAGACTGTACACAATGCAAAAAGTATAAGTTTAGACTTTTGTATTATTGGGGGGGGGGGGGGGTGCAATAATGAATATATTTTGCACGGCAAGTGAGCAGTGACGTCACATCTGTGATGTCACCCGCATGCGGCAGCGTCACGCAGTGTGCCTGCTGACGTCACGCATCCCTCCCAAACCCTCCGCGTAGGCCGTGTATTAATCCAAGACAACAATCCAATTCTAGATTTGAATTTTTCGTGACTGCAAGGATCCATACTCTTTGGTTCTATTCGGTAAAGTCACGAATAGAACCAAAGAGTAAGAATCCAATTCCCGGGCGAAGCCGGGTAGTAAAGCTAGTATTGTATATAATGTTGTTTGCTTTTAGAAACGTTTGTCTGGGTGTAAGGTTTCGCATGAAACCATTAATGTGTTTTTTGTTTCTGTTTAGCGCCCTGTGAGCAAAGACTGAACTTGTTTTATCTGGCGAATGATGTGGTACAAAATTGTAAGAGGAAAGATGCAATCGTGTTTCGAGACGCTTTTGCTGAAGTTCTCCCAGATGCCACCTCGCTTGTCAGGTAATTGTAATAATCCTACTTATGTGTGTTTTTTTATCGAAGAAATGCTTGCTTTTAAAAAATTCTGTATGAAACAATGTGTTTTTTTACTTGCCTAGTTCCCATTGAATGAGTTGTTTTGCATTGTTTTGCAGGGATATTGCGGTAAGAAAACCAATCGAAAGGATTTTTGGAATCTGGGAACAAAGAGAGATCTTTAAAAAAGACTTCACAGTGAAGCTTCGGGAAATATTAGGTTCGTTTCTTTGAAGATGTGTCTGATGTTTCACATGGTTGGATTGAAAACTCATTTATTTAGAGATGCTTTTTTGTGTGTAGTCTGTTGTCCGATTCGTGCAGTTGGCTACACACGGTGCATAATAAGTTCAACATACATTTATTAATTTTCTTTATCTTTATTTTACAGTTAATGAAAAAGCTAGAGCACCAGAAAATGCAAATGTTCTGGCTGAATTTAGGGTAAGTAATTATCCATTTTACACTGACACATTCATTATCTACTAAGTGTAGGTTATTGCCAGTTGTTGTGAACACATTATCTTTTCACACAGCCGCATTCGATTATTCAGCAACTCGCTGCCTTCAAGACGTTTGAAGATGAATCGATGACAAAAGAAACGCAGGCTGCAAATCTGCAAGTTGAATTTTTGAGCGTAGAAGATTTCAAGTTGATTAAAGGCAAGTGCTCTAATTTAAAAAAAATGTTTATCGTTTTAACTATCACGAACAAGGATATAAACCTTATGGTGGTACCCCGGGGTACCATAGTACCCTGGCTCTTGCATAATGTCCGTGATGCAGTCATTTTTAGTGTGTTGATGGTCGGCGATGCAGAAATCGACTCATCTCGACGGGCTGTACACTATGGTGCATACGAGCGTTTTAGAGTTTCAGCCCAATCGTCCTCGCTGTGTTTCGACATCTTGGAGTAGCACTGATTTCGGATTGATTGGTACCCCAGTCGTGGAGTTAAGTAACACCCCTGGAAAAAAGTTTCCCAGAAATAAAATATTTTATTGCCTCGGCCATTTTTTATTAAGTACACTGGGATACCACCATAAGGATTATATAAGTAACAAAATAAAATATAAGCTATCCTTTCTACAATGGTAAATTTGCACCAAAAAAGTACTGAAGTGTCTTGAATAATTTTTAAGAAATGCAAATTGTGTTACAATTTATGGTCTGTTTGCACATAAAATATATATTTTTTTGTGAGTTGTGTATGCTTTGTAACACATTTTCATTGTTGCTTGCAGACCAAGAGGGTGGAATGTTGTTTTCAAACGAACTGGAAGAGACAAGTGCAAAGCTAGAAGACTTCGTTAACCACCTGGAAAAGGACATTAAACGATTGCCTATGATCATGGACGCTCTGGAGAAGGCCGAGCTGTTTTATGAATCTCAGTTCAAGGATGTCAAGATCGTTGTAAATGTGAGTTGTACTTCAGCTTCATTGTTCAATGAATTAGGCAAGATAGATTTTGCATTCTAGCATAAACCAAATATGTGTTATATAGACTATATACTACATATGTAGTGTGATTCCCGAATTATGTTTTGTGCTAGTCATTATGGTAGTGAACTGTAATTAGCATAGGTGTGGTTGCAAAGGTATCTTCACCAACCTGTACTGATCAGTGCGGTTAAGTACAGACAGTCGTCGACTTACGAACGCATGACTTACGAACAACCGTACTTATGAACCAGCTTCCATGAAAAAACAACGTTGATTTCCATGAAAAAACAACGTTGATTTCCATGAAAAAGCAACATTGACTTAAAACGTGAACTCGCACTTGAAAACTGAACCGCGGAACTATTTTGTTAAGAGGAGCGATCCTCCGCAAATTGGAATGAGTTTAACGATGCTTCCCTTTTTGTTCAACCGTAACACTTTTCATAACACTGACCATATGGGCGTTTATAAATACGGTGCATTATTGTGTTCCAACTTACGAACCGTTAGACTTATGAACGGCTTTCAGGAACGAATTATGTTCATTAGCTGAGGACTGCCCATATAGTCCTTTAGTCCCCGTAAAACAATGGGAGCATATTAGCTAAAAACCTCGATGATTGGTAAATTTTAACTATCATGTATGCTAGAGACAATAATGGGAACGCAATCATTTGCCCCAGGGAACAAATAATTTTCCCAAAAGAAATTCATCTTCGAGGAACTCAACTGAAAAACAATACAATAAGCAATACGTAGAGCAACTGTTTGAAAGTGAATTCGAATCAACATTGTTGGCCTAAGCTGTTGATGGTAATTGCCATATGATGCCGATGGGTTCTTTGTTTTAAAGCAACTACCAATTAAAGTGTACCACTTTCTGAGAAGGAAATCTACTCCGTTACGTGTATTATGAATCAAATGCTGTTTTAAATTTGGGAACATTTTAACGTTAACTCTATATAATTAAAAGGCAAATGTGCAAGTGGGATCATTTAGCTTATTTTATAAGCAGAAATATACATACCTGTCAACCCATACGGTTTATTCATAATAAGGCAAATGTGTTACTCGTATTCTTGTACAGGGAAATATAGTTTTCAGGTCCATATGGTGGACAACCGTTTCAATACGGGCAAATTTATTTTTTTCTATTGATGGGACTTTGTCGGATAAACGTTGATATTTTTAAGGGCACAGGTTAACCACTAAGGTCTGAATTGGTCTGTAATAAAGTAGGAAATTATTAGGGGTTGACAGGTATGAATATAATATGCTTCAGTCGGTTGTGCAAAACTTGATATTTCTTAAACAATTTCCTGCCTTGTCGTATGTTAATTTGTTTTCAATGAAAAATTGCTAAAAATGAACCTGGCAGATGTACATTGAGTTCCATTTTTGTTGGGTCATGCTTTGCATACTTTGCTGGAATGGATCTTTGGTCACAGAGCCCTCTTTTATGATTTTTTATCAGATGACTAACATTAATTGGTGTGCACCAATGATTCTGTGCGATTTTGTTTAATTGTGTGCTCTACATCGTCTTAATATTTATTATAACCTTAAAACGTAATTTTACTAACTGAAAGTTGGCAGAACACCCATTTTGATTTAAAGCTTTCGTGACCGCAGGGATTCATATTCTTGGTTCTTTCGGATAAAGTCACGTAGAAGGGAAACAATAAAATAATAAAAATATTAAACAATAAAATTATCACGACGTTTCGACTGCAACACAAGCAATCATCATCAGGTGATTTTACCAAAAGAACCAAGAATAAGAACACCCATTGTTTAATCCATTGTAAAATCAATTTACATGTTGTACCCGTCTCAAGTGGAAATTGGATTGTACAATGACTGACCAAATTATGTGCTTGTAATTCCAGACCACAATTCATAGTCTTAAATATAAAACTTTTGGCTTGGCAAAATAGCTGTGTTTACTCATAATAAAGGCTTTTGGGTTAGATCGCGTTATTTATAAATGTGTCATAACCCTCCACCACCCGACACGGCCAATCAGCAAAAAAGTGTCACGTTGACAAAAGACAAAGTTCATTACTTTAGCCCACCGGTGTGTTGAAGAGTGAATCCACAACATTTACAGTTTGAGTACGACGTTTCGCTGGTAATTACATCCAGCATCATCGGGCAATTCGCCAACACACCGGTGGGTTAAAGTAGTGAACTATTTGTCTTTTCATCTTCTTTGCTTCTTTCGGTAAAGTCACGTAGAATGAGAATAAAATAATAAATTGATAAAATAAAATAAAACAATAATATTCTCACGACGTTTCGGCCACAACATAAGTGGCCTTCATCAGGTGAAGGAACGAGACTGTCTGGAGGACAGCGCTGGAGTGAAAAAAGCCACGCTCAGATCGCGACCTTTAAGCTGTGTGAGAAGAAACAAAGCGCCTTGACAAAGGAATTAGCATAGAATTTAGCATTGAAATGGCTGAGTGATTAGCTCAGCCATTTCAATTTCCTTTGTCAAGGCGCTTTGTTTCTTCTCACACAGCTTAAAGGTCACGATCTGAGCGTGGATTTTTTCACTCCAGCGCTGTCCTCCAGACAGTCTCGTCCCTTCACCTGATGAAGGCCGCTTGTGTTGTGGCCGAAACGTCGTGAGAATATTGTGTTATTTTATTTTATCAATTTATTATTTTATTCTCATTCTACGTGACTTTACCGAAAGAACCAAAGAAGATGAATCCTTGCAGTCACGAAAGCTTTAAATCGAAATATTTGTCTTTTGTCAACGTGACACTTTTTTGCTGATTGGCCGTGTCGGGTGGTGGAGGGTTACGACACATTTATAAATAACGCGATCTAACCCAAAAGCCTTTATTATGAATAATATTGGTCGCTAAAGCCTACGTGTTAATCTGTGTTTACATTTTCAGCTTATTTGCATATGCAAATTATCGAGCATGCTAAAGGATTGTCCAACATTGATATTTTCAAACGTGAAAACGGAGTACTTTTTCCTCCACCTTCCCACCCAAGAGAGGACTCAAATCTTAAGTTACAGAGGAAATATTTATTGACATGTTAATGCTTTTTAAAAGTGGACAGTAGGCATAATAACCCCCACAGTATTACGTTTGTTAGCAAGCTGCTCTGAATTGTTTCTCCGCAGGCATACACTAACTTTGGGAACCGCGTGGTTCACCTGAAGAGGCAGCTCGAGGAACTCGTAGCAAAACTGCCAGGCCTGTCGCCCATAATGTCCCCTCCAGCGGGCATTCACTCACCTGCGGGTTCCGATTCACCAATGGCTGGTCCCGAGGGGTCTCCATTCAGCCCACCCCTGGAAGATATTGATCTGCCAGATGATGACGCGGAAGATACCGTGACATCGGCAGGTAGGTCAGGCGATATAGCAAGAATAATGAACCAATTGATCATTATAATGATTGTAATATTGATTGGGGGTATGGTGGTTAGCACGCTTTGTGATGAATCTGCTTACCTTAGTATGGTTCCTAGCCACGGCTATCATCAGTGAAATGTAATATCAGAAGCGGTTATATCCCTCCCTGCACTGACCCCCTGGTGAAGTACTACAGTTCATCTGCCTGTGACTGAATCAGCAAAGGGCTGCAATAATTTCTTGTTTATCTTAAGATCCTCACCAAGTGTCAAGTCTTTCAGTAACGTCCTTTATTTGGACATTAATCCAATTTCATTTTTCTGCGCATTTTGTATCTCCGAGGGAAGGACATGAGCTCGAAATGCCTGCACAGATTGGCTCACAACTTGACTTTCTCTACTATCTGTCCACCTACTGCTCTTTGGCATTAAAAATGGTATAACTAAATGATCCACCCACCGTTGCCTCCACCATGCCCAGTGCGAGATGCTATTTGGGATGCTTTTTCGTCTGCAAGAAACAATGCAACTATCTGCTTTGGGAAATATACTCTTATTTTTTTATAATTTAGGTTTGGGTAATTTTTCAATGTTGCAACATTTTCTACAGCACCGATACTTGGCCTCCTGTGAATCACTTGGTATATTTTTTTCAGAGATACTTTTTATATTAATATAAACACCGTATTCTCAGCTTTGCAAATGTAATTTTTAGGGATTAACATGTGTTTACAATGTTGCTGTCAAATCTGTTGCAGCTACTGATACTTCCTCAAAGAAATCACTTTTGGCCACAGTTACAGTACAGTCAACCAGCTCTGCCCGTGCCATGAAACTGGGTAACAGACAACTGCATGCCAACAAGACCTCCACCATACCCAGCCTGCCCGATTTGGACCTCCGTAAACTCAGTGGCGTTATAGGATCTTTCACTGGTAATCCAGTTTAGTATATACTATATACATCGTACAAAATTAAGTTTTGTTCATTATGTTCTGTACAACGAGTTATATCTAACACACACGAACGTGCTTACAATTGCTTAATTTAACCTTCCTTTAGTAAAATGTGTAGTTTGTCCTCGGAATAACGTGGGTGGATATACCGTGTCCTGCGTGTTATTTTGGTCTTTTGAGCCGACGTGTTAAACTTTTCAGAGGACTTATAAAAATTTGAAAAATATATATTCATTATGAAGCTCAGAAATGTAACAGTGGTGCAAACCATTGCGCTGTTGTCCGTTCTATCTCCATGCTGCGCAGAAACGTCACATGTTAGGCAGTTGTAGTTTAGTCTAGATATGCTGCAAATCCCCAGTTTTTCTTGAAGCGCCAACCCACCCCTAGCCACAGCGATGGCAGTGTACCGTTTGCCTTACAGTTCAGCACTCTAAGTTAGCTACTGTAGCCTTGGATTTAGAATTGGCTTGTGATGTTTTTCGTGGTCCTTTTTACCGTTATGTATATATTTGTAATCGATTCTATATTTTATAAATTGAAAAGCAATATGTTTGTATAATGTTAAAAGCGGGTTAATGGTCCAAATTTGGTCTTGACCTTAATGGCGTTTTAATATTTGGATGGATTTACGAGGTCACCACCATCATACCTGAATTATCCCGTTATTTTGAGGACACACTATGAATGTAAAAATAAATAAATGCCATTATTGATAAATGAGTAGTTACTAACTTTGAATATGCATGATTATTAGTTGAATAATATTACAAAACGATGCTATGCTAAGTGATTGCTGTGCTTTGTCAGGCTTTTCCAGCTTGCTCCAGGCAGAAGAAGCCAACACAGATGTTCAAGACTCTGCATCTGCTTCACCACTTGCAGAGAGTTTTGAAGGGTCGGACTCTGAGACTCTCTCCCCAAGCATGTCAGCTGCTGGTGGGGTTAGTTGCAGCCACTCTGTTAAATCGCAAAAAATTAAATCTCCGTCCGGCAAGAGCGTTCGCTCTTCCACAGATAGTTGCGGCGATGAGTTCGCACGACATCAATGCTTCAGTCCCATGGCCGAGAAGCAGTCAACTGATACTTTGGAGATAAACACTGTGCCCGAGTCTTCGTCCTCAAGCAGCCTGGAGAGTCGGATCCACAGTATGTTGAAGGACAACCCGACTTTTTTGCCTTTTAGTTTGGGCAGTCCTGTAAGAGCGGCAGATGAAAATCCATACAACGCAGAAGAGTCTGCTCCATCATCGAGGACGGCCTTCGAAGGCTCCTCCCCAGTCTCCACGCCTACTTTTGAGAAGCCGCGTGTCAGACGTGCGAGCATGGCTTCTAACAAGTCGACTTCCTCTATTCCGTCGCTTACCGTTATAAAAGAAACTCCCATTCCCTCCATTGCATCGGATAGACCTTCTCCTATTCCCTCCCTTGCCCAAAACCGAACGATACCCAAATATTCAGGAACTCCGGAAATACCAGCGCATATCCCTACACTGATGGGGATTGGTAGAACAGAGAAACAAGATGACGATAACTTGTTTGCGAATGAAAGGGGCAGTGGAACGCCCACTCAAGATGAACCCTCGGACCTCACAGCCTTCAGTCAAACTGGGGATGCTTCATACAGTACTTTCCCTCAGTACGCGATGACTGGCTATCCTTTATCAAATCACACAGCCTATCAATCCAGTCAAGAATCACTACAAAGCTTTTATAGTGCCGAGGAAGAGCGAAAACCTGCCATGAGAACAGCTGCAAGAAAAATGTCCTCAAATCTTCTAGTTTTGAGTAACTCCTGTAGCAATGAAGATGACAATGAAAATGCAAATGACACCGGGTACTCCAGAAAATCGGGGGCACCTGTGGGCAACACTGACGACTTTCAGTTTCACACTGTAGCAGGAGCTAAAGCTGCAAGCAATGTTGGGACGTCTTCTGATGTGCACAGCAGTTGGGGATATGGAGCTTCTGCCAGCACGAATCAAAACCAGTCACAAATGGCAATGAAAGACGTAGCAACTACATCTCCATATAGTCATTTTGATTATTCGAATAGGCCGCCAGTTCAGTCGCCAACATCTCAGCTTCCATTTCATTCTAATTTGGCATCGGAGATTCACCACTATATGGTGTCTCATTTAAACCACACTAACCCTCTCCTTCCTCGTAACCCAGCTGCATTTGAACTAGGACCATTTTCCCTTGCCAAACCTGTAGCCCATCCAATGGCAGTTTCTCCACATCAGATTTTGTCAACGCATACCACATTAATGCCACACCTACCCCATCTTCGTCCATTGTTGGTGCCTCCAGCCCATCAAGTCCCACTCTCTCCCACACAACCAATTCTAGCATCTCACCCCCATCTCATCTTACAACAGCCAATGCCCGTACACACACCTACATCGCATTCGGTGCAAACGCCACCGTTCCGTACAGTTTCATCACAGTCTCCTGTCCAACATCCTTCGCTTCCTCCAGGGTATGTCGTTGCTCCCCACTTGTTGCCTACACCTAGCCCTAAACGGCCACATTTTACACCTAACTTGCCCACATCAGTCTCAACGCAAGCACAATCCTTGAAAGCACCCAGTATTAAGCAACGAGCACCCAGCCACCCTACTCCACAATCGCCGTCCCACTCTGTGCCTCACTCGAAGTTAAATTTTTCCCACACACAAAAGCTGTCCTCACACCACAATAGGTCAAAGTATTCTTTCGTTCGAGAAAAAGTGCACACCACTGTAAAGAAGGCACAGAAAGAGGATCCCAAGGATGGACTGGAAAAGAATGAAGGTAAAGTTAAAACTCCGAGCTCCAGTAGCAATAGCGACCAGAACGTTCAGAGTAACAAACACAAAACTCCAACGCAGGAAATTGGTGCCAACCAGTCGCAGGCAGAGATTGACTCGGGCATTAGTAATGAAGAGAAAAAAGAGCCACCTCAGAACCAGCCTGACCCAGGCAAGAAGTGCGGTGACACTTTGGGGAATAATGCTTCTAGCAGTGGTGCAGACAAGCCTCAAGTAGCCATGCCACAGGAAGATCACAGTAAGCCGTACCACAAAGACGGTGGCTTTCAAAACAAATTATTAGCAAATCACGTTTCGCCATCATCAGTGGATTTTCCTCCACAACCAAGGCCTTTAGTTGGACAGCAGTTCCAAGGCAGCAGGGATTTTAGGCCTAGGGCACTACTTGCTAATCCTAGAATTCCCTTTGATGGTGGCATAAAAAGACCAGGTCCCCCTTTTGGTGCAAGTCCATCATTACCAAAGAGGCCATTCATGCCTCCTCCCAGGTATTGAAATGCAAATTCTACAGCATTGTATATTTGGATGTGCCCCTGCTGTTGTAATGATTAGCATGAAAGAAATGATTATCCATTTGAAATAAGCTTGGTTGCTGTGTACTATTATAACAGAGTTTGATTCTGTTACAGAATTCTAATTCAACTAGCTTGTTAATATTTTTTAAATGTTACAATATTACTGCGCGCGTCACAAGCGAAATGGTCAACTGACATGAGTTCAAGAACATTTGTTCAAAGTGAATTTTTCCTTTAAACATTTACATGGATAGACTTGTAGGGAAAACGCAAGTGAAAAAAATAGTTTAACACGTAGGCTTTCGCGACCAATATCCATAATAGAGGTTTTTGGGTTGGATCGCGTAAATATATAAATGTGTCATTAAAACCAGCCACCGCCTGACACAGCATGTTTTGTTTACGTGACAACCCTTACTATTTAGCTGTGTCGGGTGGTGGCGGGTTTTAACGACACATTTACGCGATCTAACCCAAACACCTATTATGGAAAAAACTAGTGTTTGAATTTGTCTAGACAGCATATGTTTTAGAGGCTCTCAATGCTTGTTTTTGTGCAGAAACTAGAAATTCTGTGGCATAATTATTTCAATTCGTTACTGTTTTTGTAAGTAAAACAATTTATCACAAGTAGAATGTGATAGATTCTGTGTTCATAATGGTGTAAATACAGTTAACCACCAATCCCAATTAAAATACGGTAAGTTTATTGTGTAGGTGTGCTGCTGTTGTATACTGGAAGAGATTGTAAAGTTTTAAAAATGCTGACCCTTTCTGATCTGTACATAAGGCAAGTATGGTTAGCACAACAAAAAAATTGCGTTGATGTAACGTTCAGTGAGTTTTGTTTTCACACAAAGTTACCACAAGGCAACAGGTTAAAAGTTCTGGGTGAGGAGGATGCCGAAGATCTGCTTTGTCACTCATGTTTCTGTAAAAAAAATGCTTGGAAAAGAAATTTAACTGTGACTTGATGAACACAATGCATTTATTTTACCATGTGATTGATGGCTGCATCAGTTTATTTCGCCCAGCAGATTTGGCCCAAATCAAGATATTGGGTCTCTTGCATTTAGTCGTTCATCTGAAAGTGTTTGCAGAACTCGTTCTTGTTTTGCTGCACATGCTTTAATTTTTACTTTTTTTTTACCAATTTTGTAAAGCAAACTTTGTAAATAGCTTGAGTGGAGAGGTAGACACGGATTTGACAGTACACACACACTGCTTGAGTTATGACACTTATGCTATCGGCAACATTGAAGACAATCCACCTTTATTCTTGTGATGTACAGTGGCATGCAAAACATCAGATGGCAAGACGGCTAGAAGACAATCTGCAGGGATTCATATTCTTGGTTCTTTCGGTAAAGTCACGTAGAAGGGAAATAATAATACATTTTTTTATGATTTACCTTCTACGTGACTTTACCGAAAGAACCAAGAATATGGGGGGAAGCGTCAACTAGCAGTTGCGAATTGAGCTTTGCAAGATTTGTTTTCCCCCTAATGGTTAAGTGGATTTAAGATTGACTTTTTTTCATTGGTCAGCATTCAATGTTAAGTAATTGTGAACCTGTTATAGAGCATAGCATGTGAGATTACTGACAACAGCACAACTAATAAAGTCGGTAGCTAACTACCCATAGTGCTGGTTAGAATGCCATCAAAACTCAATTGATGCGACGTGGGGGGGGGGGGTTAATTTTCTTCCCTGCGTTTGGCTTGTCCAAATGCTTTATTGCTTTGAAAGTATGCATTGGTTTTTAATTCGGAGAACCCAAAAACAATCCCGGTTATGTATGGCTCAGTTGGGCAATTATACATTTGTCCATGTGAAAGGGTTGTACGGTTTTCCGTTGTGTTTTTGGGTTATACCGCATGTTCGGGATGAAGAAGCTCCCTTGCACGTGAGAGCAAAGCAATCGGGGATGGTGCGGAAACAACGCGCTACAACCTGAAAACACATCGGAGGGCTACTATATACAGCACATTTACAAACTACAGTAGTAAAAAAGGTTATTTTGGGAATATGGTGTACACAACTCAATGGATGTTTTTTTTAAGCACGTATTTATACAGATTGTATTAATCGGCAGCTAAGTGTAAATTCCAGTATATACTGTAGCGCCCTATAAAGCAACTATTGGCGGTGCAGCTCGGTGGAGTGTGCAACGTGAACGCATTCAAACACTTTATATCAAGAGGCGTCCATGCGTTTATTTGGACCTCGGCATTTTGACGCTGTGAAGGAAAGGGCTTTCCGTGTTTCACAATTTTTTCCTGGAGTGAAAGTGGTGGTGCTGCTGAAGCTGAATTCCCCGTTTGAAGATTTCGGTTGGAGACGAAGAAGTTTAGTTTAGTAGTCAACCCACACGACATCGGCAACGGAGTATATTATATGCATCGACGCAATAATGACGACTACATGGATAACAAGAGCATAACTGGATTTGGGCGAAGGAAGGTTTCGATACACATCGGAATTATCATCGACATGTTTGGCCAGGGCAGGTAATTGACAACTTCGATCAGAGGAAGCCACGCGCAGAATGCGTGCTTCATTATTCGTTCTAACACAACCGACCTGGTGAAGTAAACTTTGGAGCACGGGTCAGGTGACTTCATTGCTGCCCCCCCCCCCTCTCTTTGTTTGAAAGCTATTTATTCGTGCTAGCAGAACAAATCCCACAATGCACGCGTGTGTGAAAGAGACTGTAAATAGAACTATCGCCAAATGTATTTTGCCATTGGCAAATACTGTATCCTTATTACCCGTACCCCGTGATTAAATTGCCCTGCTGATCGGAAGTGGTATTGCACCCGTTAGCCAAGAAACCCGGATCATCCCGTATTGATGTTGAGATTAATTGGCGTTCAAATCATTTTTGGGGTCTGAGAAGCCGCGGCTGTTTCAATGGCCTATTGTGAGCTGCGTAAGTGTTAATGTAGGTTGCATACATTTAATGGGGCTACTTTACTCTTTATAACGCGTCTTTTGAAAAGCAGTAGCTTTTCTTTAACGCTATCTGTATACCAAACGTTATACTTTACCTTAATTGTAACCGTTATTCAAATAGCTCCAGATTGCTTAATTGCAATCGCGGTTAACGTTTAAGTCTTGGGGAGTCTCCAGTAGGCGCTTCAGTGCCTGGAAATTCAGTTCGTGAAGTAGCTGCAACCACATGGAACGAAACGTCGGGCATAATTCCAAACGACGCGATATAACTCGAGAACGCATCGGGAGAACTAAACGGCACAACCGCGAAAACTTACGTGGCAACTTTTTAAGGGTTTTTTTCCCTCTTAAGCTTTGAAAGTAGACTTCGTTAGAGAATACGTTCAGTTGTGTCAATGCAAAGGAGCCATCGCGTAGTTAAATTTTTAACTGAAAATATTCAACACGTGCGATAGATGTGAGTGGCTGCGAATTTAACGAGCGACCTTTTCGCCATTTATATAAGTTCACTTCTTGAGACGAGACTTTTTTAATAATTATCCAAATCTGACAAGAGTAACAAAACTTGTAACCGTTATCGGGGTTTAATTCACCCGGGACGGAGCTACGGAAAATGCCCCCACACTCTCGGGGGGTGGGGGGGAGGTACTCGGGGGGAGGTGATCCGTGGGGTTGTGCGTTTGGCGTCCACAGAAAATATTCTACGAGAAATTAATTCCAGCCTGCCTGGCTGTGGTCATGTGTGTATACGCGAGGTGCGTTGTATTTGTGGGAGCCAATTCTGGCTCAATCCGACTGGAGGCAATTGGCGCGGCAGTGTGCCGGTCTGATATTCTACCGCTACGCATCAATTGGCGCTGTGATTTAAACATGTGCGCATCAAACACGTTACACTAAAAATAATGGTAAGTGTAAATCATTCGGAGGAGAGCTACTGTCTCGTAGACTGGCCAACAAATATAGAATACATGCCCACTGTTGGAGAATTACGTATACAAGTGCGTCTTCAATCGGTACCCATGTGTTCATGGCCCATTGTATTTTGAAACATGCTTGCTTGAAGATGGGTAATGCAGCGCATCCATTGAACGAAAAGCATGGGCTCCGCGTTTGTTAGGATGCTTGGCTATTCCTGCTATACCAGCGCGGCTGTTTCGTGGCCAAATAGGCCGAAGATGTGAAGGAATGCATTATATCAGAGGTAATGCAAGTTGTGATTCATACCCTATACACTACTTGTTAAAAACATGAGTTGTAGAACTAATACACGTACATCAAATGATTGCATCCTAACACCTGGCTTATTTATTTGAGAGTGATTTACGACATTTCAGCCGCATTTCTAATTAAAATACTATTTGTAATACCTTAGGCTCGTTGGCCGAAACGTAAAATGTTACTCTCAATCGAGAATACGTTGGTATGTTTAAGCCTCTACTGGACATTCAAATAATATTTTACATTTAGGGATTTTAATTTGTTTTATGGCATGTAAAATATCAGAAACAAGGGTAGTTTTTCGTACTGTATTTTGGGAATACGTAAGGTCTATGGTGGGCCGTGATCCAAAATCATAAACATACTGTTTATAGGGGGGGGGGGGGGGGGGGGGGGGGGGGGGGGGCAACTTTACCGATGACACTGCCTTTCAACATTCGCCGACCTTTTTTGAGTCGAGGTTTGAAGGGTTATTTATATTCCTGCTGCAAGACCGTGGTTTCCGTGGGGTTGGGGGGTGTTTTGTACTTGGGGCACCACTGACAAACGCAATGCGTGCATAGTTTTATATATATATTTTTTCTGTTGAATGGGACATTTGTTTTTTGTTTCTGCTTATTGAGATAGAATGGATGGGACGGATATGTAACGTACAGATCCTGTTCACAAAAAATCTACATTACGGGCAGGGTAGGGAAAAAACCCCTCCACGTTTTAATATTTTGTTTGAATGTGTAACGCCTATTCTATCCATTCATCAGGCAATTAGAATGACGCGTTTGAAATAAGCTGCACGTGACGTATTACAGTATCTTCATTCACCACTCTAATCCGCATGCTTACCAAATATAAAGCAATGTGTTAATCACACGACTGCAGTCGTGCTTAGTAGGGCCACGATTCCGTATTGGAAAATGGGAAATCTCTACTTGTACGGATAAAAAACACCCAATAGGGCCATTTTTATTCGAGTAAGTTGAGTTAATTCCTCCGCCCGCCGAGCTGACCACGTGTTATGTTGCCCTGTACTTGGTGCCACGGTGGCGAGATGTTAACTACCTCTACCTGGAATTCAGGAGGTTCGTGAGTTCGATCCTGACTGACCCTGACGCCTGTGGTGTATTTGGAGTTTGCAGCCTCTCCGTGGTCGCGTCGATGTTTTTCCGGGTCATCCGGTTTTTTTCCCCTCGACATTGATAATCGACGAGCGTTGAGAGAGTAGTTGGCTGCTCTGCCTTTCCACATGATAAGCCACTTCGTCGAGCTATTATTTGTGGCCAGGTCGCTTCTGAAAAAAGAGCTCAAAGCTCGGTGGGCCTTACTTGGTAAAATAAAAATGTATACATTTTGATTTAAAGCTTTCGTGACTGCAGGGATTCATATTCTTGGTTCTTTCGGTAAAGTCACGTAGAAGGGAAACAATAAAATGATAAAAATATAAACAATAAAATTACTTGACTTTACCAAAAGAAATTTTTGGTTCTTTCGGTGAAGTCACGTAGAAGGGAAACAAAATAATAAAAATATAAAACAATAAAATTCTCACGACGTTTACACTGCAACGCAAGCAATCATCATCAGGTGTGAAAACCACAGCAAGAAAATTAGAAAAAAATATTCGTGCTGTGGTTTTCACACCTGATGATGATTGCGTGTGTTGCAGTGGAAACGTCGTGAGAATTTTATTGTTTTATATTTTTATTATTTTATTGTTTCCCTTCTACGTGACTTTACCGAAAGAACCAAGAATATAACAATATATAGTTTAGTCAGTTTTTTTTACTTCAGTGCCGCAAACCAGCTCAACATTTCGGTGGGGGGCACATTACATTATTATCGCTGTAATGCAGTCACCTGTTTGGGAAAAAAAACTGATTGAACACATTCATTCGGTTTTTTACATACTGGTAAACGTATATAAAGTGAAGCGTACGATACATCCATAATTACGAATTATTTCTGTACAACGTCACATTAGCAATCGCGGTCACTATTGACTGTATGACAAAGACGGCTGTGTAAAAAAAAAAATCGAGCATGCAACTGCCCATTTAGCGCATCCGATGTAACGCCAATGCAGCTTGTATGCGTCGCGCGTGTACACGTGTGTGTTCACGTGTTTAAAAAAAAATGCATTCGTAAACGCTGAACCAAACGAATGTTGCTTGGCCTGCTTTATGATGTTAACAATGACGTGCAATGCCCCCTTGTGTTTCCATGTGGGGTCGTCCTCACCCCCCCCCGCCGCACCTCCACCCGCAACGAAAAGATGGCTGCAGCGAGAGGAATTTGCGCCCGGATCGAGAGCCAGGACTCCGAGGTTCGATCGCTTATCGCCGCCGTCCATCAGCTGAGGCTCGCGGAGGGCAGCGCGCCGGACACGCCGACCCTCGTGGCCCTGAGGGCCGCCAACGAGAAGCTGAAATACCAACTGGGCCACCTGAAGAGGAGCCTACGAGCGGAGGAGAGCGCGGCGCGTTGCGGTCGGGCAACGCCGCAGCCCGTCGTGTCCAGCGGCACGGCGGGTAGCCGGCAGGTCAGCTGCTGATTGCGCGAGGCCGTGGTGCGTGCGTCCGGCCACTTGATGTTGTTGCTGGTTAATATTGCCACAAGAAACACGTGTGTGTGTGTGTTTCGGTTGCATGTTGACATCGCGCTTGCGTTCTTGCAGCAAGTGTGGTTGGTTGGCATGTTGCGGCGGTGTGTCACAGCTGTTTGTGTTTTTTTTTAAATCAGCGTTTTGTCTGAAGTTATTGGTTAATGTTTAACTTTCGAGTGTTGTTTTGAAGTTGCGTCGTTAAACTTTTTTTGTGCTGCGAGGTCGCGATGAAACACGCTTAAAACGACGTGGCCCAGATCAGAAGAATCAAAACGTACTGGTGGAATCCGATGAGCTATAAAGCTCTTTTTAACGGATGTCCAGTTAGGGGCGGGTAAGATACGAGGGTCTTGGTGACATCCAGTTAATGGCATCTGTTACAACAAACAAGACATTGCTTTCGTGGATGTACAGTCAGCTGCTGCACAATCACAACTTGTATTTAAGCATCAATCACCTCCATTTGAAGAAGGTCCTTTGCACGAAACGTTTATTTACAAATCGTTTTTATATATTTCAAGGTTGTTACTATTCTGACGGGTCATTGGTCTACTGTACAGTATATAGTTAATCATGAATGGTGAGTGGTTTTTAAAATGTGTGCTGCTCATCAATGCTGATGCTGCGCTTGTTAAGTTAACCTTTAACCGCGACAGACTTACACGTGAACGGGTGGACCTGGTTTTTTTTATAGCTCACCCCGTGGGGTAAATTTAGCGTGTAAACAT